AGGTGATTGCTGACCACCGCCGACTTTTGTGTCTGGTATTTTCAATACGCCTATGATGGTTGCGCATGTTGCAAAATCTGTGAATTTTTTTTACTAACTACATATGGAAAATTACTTTGTTTATTCTATTTTAATAAAGCTCTTTCCTCATTTTCTTTTTGATATATTATGTAGCTGCATTTTTATTAAGTATTTCTTTAGATTAAATTTCTCATTCTGATCCCCGCGATTCCGAGATTATAGGTTCTTATTCCGGGATTTTAAATAATTGGAAACCCTACTTACACTGAGTGAAAGTTTTTTTTATATCGTTAATTGTATTGGCTAAATATTTGTGAACAATGGGTTAGAAATACCGTTTGATCGAAAAAGAAACCGCGTCATAGACGCCTGGGGAATGACAATAGTTGCTAGTTTCGGCGAGGTCAATCTCAAGATGCCAGTTTCTAAAAATTGACATAAAACTTATCAAAAATTAATACTAATTTTCTAACATCTAAAAATGATTGAATGTTTCCAGACTCACAAATCTACTTCCAAAAAAATATTTTTTCTCGAATTTTAACTAACATTATTAAAAAAATAATTTTTATTAATATAAAAATAAATTACAACCTTCTTAAAGTCAATTGGCAGTAAGCGCCATGAAAAAATAAAGAATAGTACGGGCCAAGTAAATGGAGATCTAGGGCTTGACCTCGCTCATAATAATAATTATTGATTGTCATTCCCCAGCCGTCTTTGACACCGTTTTTTTTTCGATCGTATGGTACGTTACGATTTTTTTCGGTAAATATGTGATAATATAATATAGCTGCTTGAACGAAAATATTGATTCTAAATAGCAATATGTAGCATCCACAAACACTAATTCTGAATCAGCGTAGCTACACGGAAATTACTAAAAATTTTATATTAAAAGGTTAATTGATAATTACACACATTCGACAATAGTTGTGGAGTCCTTTTCACAGGAAGTTGAAATTTGTATATTTGTGGTATCTATATTACACACTTTTATGGTGCAAGGTATTTGTGGTGGCACAAATACACATTCTAAAATTATAATATTTGTGGAACAGGTTTCCACAATTAATAAATCTCCAATAACTTTCTTACGGTGGAGTGTATAGACATATAAATTATATTTTTAGGTCGTGGACAGCGAGTTCGTATCATTTCGTACAAAAATAGAGATGCTACCACAAATGTCTTTACTGCACGGTTGTCACAAATATGGTCATACGTGTATAGGTGTGCATGTGTGTGTTACGCTTCGTTGTGCAATATTTTAGTTCTTTCATCCAAATTCTTTGTTTTCTTTTTCGTTTTTTGGTATCATCGACATCATCTAGGGTATATACGATAATAATTAACTTTTAATAGAAATTTTGATCAAAATTTTACCAAGTGCATCGGTGATTGCCGTTGTGCAACGCAGCGTTGCGCATTACTTTTTTGCGCAACTTGTTTGATAATGTATGGGTCGCTGAATCATTTGTGCAACGCCACGTTGCGCATCGCTTTGTTGCGCAAGTTGTTTGGTAATGTATGAGCCGCTTTAGTATCAATATTAGTCATCTTTATTTCTATAATAATTATAATGACTTGGCAATTGCACGATATAATATTCTATAGTAATTAAAAAACTTTATTCTTAAGTGCACCGTTTATTAAATTTACTTAGTAATCTAAATAGTAGATTATTCTTTTTTATAATTATTATGGTGCCGTGCATGCAATTGCCAAGTCATTATAATTATTATAGAAATAAATATGACTAATAGTGATACTAAAACCCCATACTCACACTTCGCTACTTCACTTCGTTCCTTCCTCGCGTCCCTTCGTCCAAAAATCATATATTTACTATGGGAAAATGTCGATTTTATGCGACTGTGTGTTCCATCCTCCTTCGTCAAAACGCTACTTCGTGCGTTTACTTCCTCGAAACGCTCCTTTCAAGTACTGTCGGTTTTTGGAGGAAGTAGCAAAGGAATTATCACGAACACAAAAAAATGTTAAAATATATAAAATATATAAATCGATCTTGGATTTCATTCGTAGTTGATTTTATGATTTGGCACTACGTCTGTACAGGGTGTCCCATTTTCGTGTTTTGCAGGATTTGGTTTGGTTTGATTTTCGTTTATGAGTCGAAATACAAAGATGCGGTTTTCACATTACGCTGTTACTTTTTTATGAAACTAAAGATGCTACATACAGATATGTCTTAGCTCTCTTACTTCCTAAAATACAGGGCGAATCTGAAATGATTGCATTTTTCAATCCCCTTTGTATCATAACTTATCGAAAAGGTGAAAACGGTCTCCCGTACAGTTTTTCACGTAGAATGCGGTGACGTAACTATCTCTTCGTTGGAATCTGTCTTTTTTTAAATTGATTAAAACTTATGTTTTTTTAAATACGATATTTTGTATATTATTTTATTTTCCTTGTTACGAGCTTTCTAAAATACTTATTTTCATAAACGGGGTAAAAATGCATTATTTAACTTTATTACATAGTCGGCCGGTTTAAATTAGGTAATCAAAACAATCAACTAATTTATTCGACGTAAAATGTTGGTTATTGGCATGTTATTTAAAAGCAGCACAAGTTCAGTTTCCGTGTAGTTTATCAAAATATCACGATGCAAAGCAAAATTATCTTGTAAAATTAAGTATCCGGTATATACCTGTACATTTAGATGAACAGTCTAATTTTATAAAAGGTATTTCCAACGACCGCATAGTAAATACCCGATATAATACCAGTAATATCAGAAATACGAGTATATCTACAATATTTCTTATATATATTGTAGGTATTATATATTGGTATATTTCTATTCCCGGTATTATACCGGGTATTTACTATGCGGTCGTCGGAAACCCCTTTTATTAAAATTAGGATGTTCATCTAAATCTACAGGTATATACATATATACCCAGGTTTTATTTATCAACAAATTGGGTACTTACCCACCGCCCATCACTGACCCTTTTCACCTTTTCGATAAGTTATAAGATAATCGAGATACAGAGGTTATCAAAAAATGCAAAAATTTCTACTGATTAAAAAATAAAAAGTAAAAGAAAGAAATAAGAAATAACTTTGAACTAAGAAGGCTAGCTAGGATAAATACATATTTATCCTAGCCTTCTTAGTTCAAAGTTATTTCTTATTTCTTATGTAGCATATTTAGTTTCATAATAAGTAGAACAATGATGTAAAAACAGCATCTTTATATCTCTACTCATAAACCAGAAACCGCATAAAACACACACAAATGGGACATCCTGTATATCTAGCAATCGCCAGTCGATATAAAAATAATTCACACACAATAGTCTAAAAAATGGAAGAAAAAAACAATATTGTCTTCATATTTGTTAAAAAATGAATGTCCATATTTATGTAGCGACAAAAATAAAAAAATAGAAATAATGTGCATGATGCATTTACAAAAATATCTGAAGAAATGGGGATTGACATCATTAACGTTTAATTAGTATGTCATATTTCATGGTTTCGATATAAATTACATAATAAACTTTACTCTATTGTTGACTCGCCTTGTACATTCATACTGATATACCTTGTACATGATACTGAAATATTCGGATTTATTAAAAAAAATATATTATTAAAATTCAATTTTTATTTTTGACACGACAAAGAATTGCAGTTTTATAAAATAAAAATTATGCGCTTAACTGTATTGTATAGATTAAACAATTTTCAATTAACCCCTTTCAAATTACATTAGCGCGTCGTACTTTTCCAAAGTTCACAGAACTTTTCTAACGCTATTATTTGAAAATAAAAAATCCTCTATTATATTACGCATTTTTTCAAGTACCTACATATATTTAAATATAAAATTATTCTGAGATATATCACGCATTTATTGAAATTTTAAACTTGCCAATTTTTCAGTTATCGGCTATATAGATATCGAAGGAATTTATTTTATTATTTGTTAGATATAAAAAATAATGGAAAATGATAAGAAATTCTTAATCCTTTGTCGAAAGTAACGATCAAAACATAAATTAGGTACTGTTTGAATAATTGTCTTGAACTAATACAATTTTTTTAAAAATTAAAAAAAAAATAAATATATTGCAACTAACATTTAAATATTTAATTCGGGTGCCATTAAAATTTAAATTTGAAGTAATTTTGTCACAAAAACACTTCATTAAACTATTTAAAAACACTTAACGTTTTATGCTCTTATAATAAAATTTTTACAATGTTGCATTAGATAAACGACTAAAACTTAACTTACATAAAAAAACAGATCCAAAATATACGTTTTCACACAGTTTGTATTTGTTTAAGACAACTACACTTGTTTAATGTTACTATTTACACCAAATCCGGCCAAGGTCTGTTAGTGCAAGATCAAAATCTTCGTATTGTTACGTTTTGGCGCGAAACAACACGCGTCGCGACGCTCAATTTGAAATTTCCGACGCAACAAACGACGCTCTCGCATTATCACGACGACGCCAAGGTAGAGACTGGCGAATTCCGAAAATTAAGCGCCCAATCGAAGATTGATTGTAGGCAAAGATTATGCCGTAATTGAATATTTGCTTTTTCGCTCGTTTTTGTAGATTTATTTTATTATCAGGTGAATGGTGATTGAGATAATTAAAATTAACAAGTGCGAGATAAGATTAATTTTGCATATAATACGCCTAAGCAATTTTTTTTGATAGACTTTAACACTGTTAAGTTAACATTCTCAAGTTATGCTGTGATTAATTTGTTTATTTTCCTCTTATTATGTATACCGAACATAAAACTTTTAAAATATTCAAATAATTTTCTTTAATTTATTGGTATCGATATATTAATATCGACGCGGGGACTACAGCACTAGTTAAAAATGCCTTCCTCCCATAGTTTCCTTTTCTTTCTATCTTTATTAAAAAGGTTCGCGTTGCATGTATTAAAAAGAGATAGAAACTGACCAACAACTTTATAGGTTATGTTTTCTTCTCAAGAAACGTCAATTCAAGCTTTATTTGAGTTCCTTTTAAAAATATAGTTTTTCAAGCGAAAATCTATGTTTACCAAGCCATTTCGGCATTTCCTACGTTATAATTATATACAAGTACATGTTCTTTATTCAAGATAACTATCTATAACCAGTGCTTTCACTACCTGCAGTTGATTAGTTGTGTTGTGACAAACAAACTCAAAATTCAGAAAATGGCTCATTCCGGTGGTGTTCCGGGAAAACGGAAAGAAATCTACAAGTATTTGGCCCCATGGCCCCTTTACAGCATGAACTGGTCGGTGAGACCGGATAAGAGGTTTCGTTTAGCGCTGGGTAGTTTTGTGGAGGAGTACAACAACAAAGTTCAGATTGTATCTTTGGACGAAGAGAGTAGCGAGTTTTCTGCTAAAAGTACGTTCGAACATCCATATCCGACCACGAAAATTATGTGGATACCGGATAGCAAAGGGATATTTCCAGATCTTTTGGCGACAAGGTAATCATTCAAGGATTTGTGTGTTTATTTATAGTTAATTTTAAAGGTTAAATGCACCTAGGTCAAATGAGTAACATTGCATTATTAATAGGTAATTATGTATGTTGAAAATTTATTATGGTTTTTGTTGTTTTAGTGGAGATTACCTCCGAGTATGGAGAGCCGGTGAACCAGATACTAGACTAGAATGTGTTTTGAATAATAACAAAAACTCGGATTTTTGTGCTCCCTTAACAAGCTTTGACTGGAATGAAGTAGACCCTAATCTTGTAGGCACATCTTCCATTGACACCACTTGTACAATATGGGGACTTGAAACAGGCCAGGTAATTCTAAAAGAACAAATAAGGAAGTTTTTTTTAAATAATACAATTATTCTATTGTAGGTTTTGGGACGAGTAAACTTAGTATCTGGCCACGTAAAAACACAACTAATTGCCCACGACAAAGAAGTATATGATATTGCATTCTCACGAGCCGGAGGTGGAAGAGACATGTTTGCCTCAGTTGGCGCCGATGGCTCAGTAAGAATGTTTGATTTAAGACATTTAGAACATTCCACAATTATATATGAAGATCCCGCTCACACACCATTACTGAGACTAGCCTGGAACAAGCAAGATCCGAATTACTTGGCAACAATCGCTATGGACTCATGTGAAGTGATTATTCTTGATGTCAGAGTTCCCTGTACACCAGTTGCACGACTGAATAATCATCGGGCGTGTGTTAATGGCATCGCCTGGGCTCCACACTCTAGCTGCCATATTTGCACTGCGGGTTAGTATTTTTTTATTTAAGACAAAATGTTATATTGTATTAATTGTTGTTTTTTTAGGTGATGATCATCAAGCTTTAATATGGGATATACAACAGATGCCCAGAGCTATTGAGGATCCCATTTTAGCATATACGGCTGCTGAGGGTGAAGTTAATCAAATTCAGTGGGGTGCAACTCAACCAGATTGGATCGCTATTTGTTATAACAAATCTCTAGAGATTTTAAGGGTGTAAACGTGTAAAGTGTGCCTGTATGTGATAATAAGACTGAAGTTGTGTGAATGGATGAGAAATAGTGTGTAGGAACTTTAGAACACTAACAAGTCTTTTTAAGGTAGTGCAATTAATTATTGTATTTTAAGATATACAGGGTGTCCCAGGCTGAGCGTGCATTAGAAGTTTCTAGAGAACCGCAGTATCTAGATCGGAGATTTTTTGCACATCATTGTTTTGCAACGAGATCTATCGATTAAAAATATTTTCAATATGGCGGCACTTCCGGAAATACCGGAAGTTGACAGCAACTTTCTTATTTTAAATGGGTGCCCCCATTTTTTATTACATACTTAGATTCTCTGTAAAATTCTATGAATATTGATGTTAAACACTCTATATCTAACATTAACCATTTTTGTGAAAAAAAGTATTTAACATTTTTAAACGAAAAAAAATGCCTGTCAAAAATATGTGTATAGCCTAAACGTCACATTTAGTGATTACCACACCCACTGTACCATAAAGAGAAAACATGTGGCTATCTCTTTCAAAAATTAAATTGTTCGAATATCGTCTAATAATGGCCGCAGCTGTCAGAATTGAGCGATTAAAAAATTATCATAAATCATTTTTTTCAAATGGAAACCCACTTTTTTTATTTCACTAATGAAAAGGCTACTTACGTTACTTTTTGACTAACATGTTCCTATAATGAGTCATCATAAGTCAATGTTAGGTATAGAGTGTTCAATATCAAAATTCATAAAATTTTACAGAGAATTTAAGTATGTAATAAAAATGGGGGCACCCATTTAAAATAAGAAAGTTGCTGTCAACTTTCGGTATTTCCGGAAGTGCCGCCATATTGAAAATATTTTCAATCGATAGATGTCGATGTGAAACTATGATGTGCCAAAAATCTCCAAGCTTGATATTGTAGTTCTCTAGAAACTTCTAATGCACGCTCTGCCTGGGACACCCTGTATACGTCATACATTCATTAATATTATTATGAAGCCCTTATAGTAATAGTAATTTTGACATTTTTCCAGTATATAATCATTAATAATTTCATTCAAGAACCAACAATATATGTGGAGTGGTGTACAATATTTGGAATATGAAATATCGTCATACTAATTTTATTTAAATTATTGTCTTTGTAATTTTAGCGAGTGATAGGATGTAATTGTTGCTTTAAATCAAAATGTTTTTGTTTTATAAGACGTTTTGATACACTTTAGAATAAGTATATAGACAGATAGTTTTAAGATCTTTTAGTAATGTTAGGTGTGTCCAATAAATGATATAAATTAAATTAATTATCTTTTTTTTCTTGACAGTGGAGTTCTTTTCAGAGTGAAAACAAATTGCATTTTTTTTATTGACAGTGTATATCTGGTTGCAGAGCTATTAAGAAATTTAAAACTATTGAAATAAATCCTAGTCAATTAATTTATAGTTATATTTGTGTTAAACAAAACTAACTAAAGATTAAAATAAGCGAAATAGGTGCATAACACTATAACCTACAGATTATGCGTTCAAACAATATTTGCTGATTAATTTTTTTTTTCTGTATCGATATTTTTATATCGATTGTTCGTTACATTAGTATCGAAAGTTAACCAAAAAAACTATAAAATTTAAAAACACAAATTTATTTAAAATATTACTTTAGATTAATGTAAATTATAAAATATGTGTTTAAAAACAGTCAATCTCATAAGAAAATTCAGTTCAAAAGCATCAGTCAGTTATTTTACCACCCCTATTTACTATGTGAATGCAAGTAAGTAAAAATGTTTTATTATCTCTTTAAATGTTAGTAACATATCGAAAAATTGCATTAATGTACTAAATAATGGTAATGGTAATTATTAATGATTAATAATCACTAATAATTACTATTATTAATCTGAGAAATGTATTTTAAAAATTATAGTCACAAAAAAAATGTGTTTACTTTTGTGAGCGCCATCTACTCATGTATTCCGTAACCTGTAATTTTATCCATATAGAACCCCACATAGGCCATCTCTATTCGTCTCTGATTGCGGACGCGGCTCAAAGATGGCAGCAGATATACCACAAAGGCGCTAAAATTAAATTCAGTACTGGAACGGACGAACACGGAACAAAAATTCAACAGGCGGCCAAGTCTCATAACACTTCATTATCCGGTTATTGCGAGGGTATATCTTCGCAATATAGACATCTAGCTGACCAATTTACCATCCAATATACCGATTTTATTAGGACTAGCGAGGAGAAGCATAAAAAGACTGTGCAACAGTTTTGGGCAAGTTTATTCTATCCCTATTTTTTATTTCCTCTAGTTCTATTTTCACCATTTACTTTTTTCTTTTTGTTACAAGTTATTTTGTAAAATCTTTGTCAAAATATCACAAAAAAATAGGTGATTTTATTTTAATTTAGTCTGAAATGTATTTATACTGGGTACGCACCTCAGGTAAAAACACGGGATTTGGTATATTAGCATATGACATAAATTAGGATTGATCGACGTTTTCAATTATTGTTTTTGGTCACTTCCTGTTTCACCGGAAATTACTAGAACTTTTGATTTTTAAATGGCACCTAAATGACACTCTGAATAGAATGAAATATCATATGTCAACTTTTGACATTATTGCATATGGTTTATTTAAAATTGTTACATGCGGTTAATTCATAACGACAATTTGACTCGAAATACCAAGTGTGTGGTACCAAATTATTCGTAAAAAATGCTTTTTCCAAATATGCTAATGAACCACCCTTGCTTCGTTTGAAAAAATTGAGATATGATTAAAAATACGATTTGGGCATCTTTCAACCGACCAGGACAAGACACGAAAAACAGTAAACAATCAAATCTGTTTTTCCAAGTTTCCTTGATTAAAAATTAATGTTTTTTTAACACAGCCATGAAACTCTAGATTGAAATTTAAAATACGATTTTTTAAGCGAAAGTGTCAAAAGTTGACATATGATATGTTACTTTATTCAGAGGGTCATTTTCTATCGATCTAAAGTAAAAATATACCCAGGATTCCATTTAAAAATCAAAAATTGTAGTCATTTCCGGTGAAACAGGAAGTGACCAAAAACAATTGAATACCTACGTCAATCAGTCCTAATTTATGTCTTGTACTAATATACCAATTTTGGTGTTTTTATCTGAGAAAAATAAAAAAGTTATAGGGTTGAGCCACTGTCTAGACCCACCCGGTATACAGAGTGTTTCAAAAAACATGTGCTTTCCCTCGTGGGGAAATTGCTCACGTAAAAGTAAAATTTATTTTTTATATGAACATAGACATGATTCTGCTTTGTTTCGTATCTACAGTGGGTTAAGTTATTTTTTTTTAATTTAATATAATTTCCTGTCAAGCACTTGTAGCGATATGGGCTATCATTGTGGTATTATTTTGTAAAAAAAGAAGCCATTTATTTATTTTTTCTTGTGAGGTAATTTAATGCCGATTGTTATAACATGTATCTTGATATTTTGTCGATTTCGATGTCCTTGATGAGTTAAAACACTTATGTCCATTTTAAAAATAACAAAAAAAAAATCAAATTTAAGATAATTACAAAAGAGCTATTTTTTGAAAGTTTTATGATCCTGTATCATTAAAACTGTGCATTTTGTTCCATCCATGTTTATGCATACTTTTTTAATATTTTTTATGAGGAATCAAAGAGTAGTTTTTTAATACTTTAGTTAAAAATTTTACATTTTTTATTAGATTTGGTGAATTAATAAAATTGCGTTGATCTCGTCAAAGAGATCGAAATTGATAAGATATCAAAAGACAACTTTTAATCGGCATTAAACTGCGTACACAATTGTTTAACAAGAGAAAAAAATACGTAGTGCACAGTTTTTTCTTTTCTTTTTTCGCGTATGAAATCTCCTCATGAGAGATGGCACATGCTGTTTGGAATACCCTGTATAACATTTCGTTGTTTCAGAATTGTTTAGCAACAAAAGGACACATTTATAAATCGACTTATCAGGGTTGGTATTGCATTTCGGACGAGACATTTCTGAGCGATTCTCAATTAGACAAGGTTGTTAGAAATGGAGTTGAAACGTTAGTTTCGGCGGAAAGTGGACATCCTGTAGAGTGGAGCGAGGAACAGAATTATATTTTTAAATTGAGTTCCTTTAAAGATGATTTAGTGTATTGGTTGACTAGAAATGGTAAGTTTATAAAAGGTTCCTTCTCTACAGGGTTGTTCACCACAAACGATTAGATTTTTACATATTGAATGTTTTGGGTTCGTTGAAGGACTATTAGAGCTACAATTTAAAAATATTTTTACAAGATACAGAGTGTCCCAAATAAATAAAAAATATCATAGTTGTATTTTTTTTAAATGGAACACCCTGTATATTACATTTTTAGTTTCTACGATTAAAATAAAGGTAAATTTTATTAAAGTTTATTACACTTAAACCTTACCGTTTTTGAAATATTTTCAATTTTGTGAAATTGCAGTAAAAATTTTAAGGCTTAATTTCTCCAAGGGTATCAAAGTTTGAAATACTAAATATTTATCGAAGTTTATTTATTGATCAGATATTTTGTTGCAATAATACAAATAATACTATCTCATACATAGTGTCTAAAAATTTAGTTTAAATAATTTCTAGATTTAAACGGCAATAACTTGTTTAATTTAAATGGAACACCCTGCATATTTAAGGAGAATCAGATGCACAATTTAATTACCTATCAAATTGTATTATACCATTTTTTATCTATCCCTTCAAGTTTTTCCCATTTATCAATAATATACCCATGGAATATTGACATTTTAGATTGTTTTTAAAGCAACAAATGTACAAAATGTACAGGTGCTAAAAACGATACTATTACTAGCCCATTTGTATACAAAAAGAAAACTATTTAAATCTTTATAAAAAAGTATACCATTAATTAAATATACCACCATTATTTCCGCTTAAATATTAATTAATTACATACTTAATTGTGTTAGTTCATAAATTATTCTAAATAAATGTGGATTTGAATCAGAAATCAATATAATAATAAGTTTGGAAAATGAACGTCTCTGTTATAAATAAGCATTCGTCAAAAAATGAAATACAATTTTAAAGGTGTTACTTTTTACCACCACTGTCTAATACACATACATAATTCAATTTTTTTGTATTTGGAGCAATTAATATTAATCAACGCAAACAGTCAATTAATGTAGTTTGAATACTGGAATCATATTAATTGGTCCTCTTTAACAAATATTTAAACAGTTTTTTTTTTATTTTTTAATGAAATTAACAAACTATATGGATAATGTTAGTATCTTTACCCTTTAAAAATATATTACATCTTTAAAAATAATCAAAAAGGTCAATATTCCATGAGTATATTGATAAATGCGGTCTAAATTATGAGGAAATACATTTTCTACGAAAACTTGAAGAGATAGGTAAAAAATGGTATAATACAATTTGATAGACAATTAAATTTTGCATCTGATTCTCATACAATATACGGGGTGTTTCATTTAAATTAAACAAGTTATTGTCGTTTAAAGCTAATAATTATTTAAAATAAATTTTTAGACACTCTGTATAAGGTCGTATAATTTTTATTATTGCAACACAAAATTTAGCAAAAAGAAATACGTCAGTACAATATTTGGTTTTAAAAACTTAAATACACCTAGAGAAATGAAGCATTAAATTTATTACTGTATTTGACAAAAACCTTAATATTTCAAAAACGGTAAAATTAAAATGCGGTAAACCTTAAACAAATTTACCTTTATTTTAATCGTAGAAACTAAAAATGTAATAATATACAGGGTGTTCTATTTAAAAAAATAAAACTTTGATATTTTTTATTTATTTGGGACACTCTGTATCTTGTAAATATATTTTTAAATTGTAGCTCTAATATTCCTTCAACGAACCCAAAACTTACAATTTGCAAAAATCTAATCGTTTCGCTACAATACTCCGTGTCGTATGTGGTGAACAACCCTGTATATGGGCGTTCTTTGTTTCATTTTTTTCTCGTTAATGGCTAATTGGCAATAAAAAGATCTTTCTATAATACTTGCCGAAATGCAAGTATTTCGGCATTCAGCCAGCTCTTTCCCAAGTAGCATTTTCACGACTTGCGACCACATGTTTACTAAACACAACGTTGGATTAGTTACAAAAAATAGTTAGCTCCCTACCTTGGGTATTAAAATAAATTTAAACGTTTTTATAACGTTGTGCCGACGTTGGACTAGTACTACAGCAAAGTAGAAGCTTCTGCGACGTCGAATAAACGTTGTCTTCTAACCTTTTTTGCTTAAGTGATCTTTAGGTGATTCGGACAACGTAGTTACAACGTTGGACAATATATAGTTTTCCGACGTCAGTTTCAGGACCTATTCCAACGTTATGCAAACGTCGTTTGTTTTACTAATTCCAACGTTGTTTAGATTTCCTTATTCTTACGTTGGTAGGACGTCGAGTCACTACCTTTTTGCAACTGTATTGAACCATAACCTTAAATCTTAAATTTTCACTTCATTGTTCTGTTCAGTCAGACAGTTCAGTGCTGTTTTTGTTTTTATAAAAAAAACTTAATTAAAATGGGACATAAGAAAGGTACATATAAAACTAAATTTAAATATACATCGACATATATTACCAATAATTTATCCACTCCCTCGTTTATTTAGATTATAGAGTGCGGCACAAGGTAGACTCTAGGATGACTAAATTAGGCAATCTTGCGACGAGTATACTACCTGTTAAGGCCGAACTGCGACTTTATTAGTCCAGTATGCGACTACTCGAACTACTCCATCTTAATCTCCAAAACAACAAAGTGAAAGCCGCCATGTTGTTAAATAAGAAAATGTTTCTTCCTAAAATAGCAATTCCTGCTTTTTGAATACATTAACTTGAAATATTTGATCCTAAAAAACACGCGGAAACAATTTTTTCGACTGCGAATAAATTATTCTCATTTTACTAAAAAAAAAATTCAAGAAAATTTTTAAAACTTCTTTAATTTTAAGGCCCATTGGTATTTTTCAAAGTAGAAACAATACATTTATCAATAAAGTTGTTTGCGTTTAACTTTTTTGCCTTGGGTAACGAGTTACAGAGTCGGTTAAAGTATATCATTAATTCTGATCTTCAAACATCCTCCACACTTAAATACTTTTGTTTTGTTTTCCTTCACTGCCATCTGACATATGTCTCTAACTAAATCATAAAAATAATATTTTTACTATAATTATCCCAATTTAGGATAAAACGCGACTTAGACGCCATATTAGTTTTGTATTTCTGTGAATTAGGATTTTAAACAACGTTGCAGTTTGTACTAAATTAGGCTTCTAGCCAACGTCGGTATCCAACGTCGTTTCGACCCAAAAATTATTCTCCAAACTAGTGCAGACTAGGGTTGGCACGAGGTTGTGCCGACGTTGCGCCCCGACGTTTGGTCGCGTGACACAACGTTGTCCCGACGTCCAAATGCTGCTTGGGTTGTGTCTAAAACCTCGATTGTTATTAATCGTGTTCAAGTACAACACTGATTCTGACTAGGTCAGTAAACTTTGTCCAAATTGACAGCTTCTATCTTGTAACTGAAAACTATTTTAGACGATTATCTATCGAAACGTAGTACTACACTGTTAAAAAATAAAGAAAATAGAAGACCCACTCTTAATAATTAAAGATATAATTAATTTTTGATTTCTATTTTCAAATAAAAAACGTTACATGTTTTAGAAAATGCAGTTCAGCCGAAAAAGTTTTATAAAATCCTTCTTAATCTGATTCACACCGATGGAGCTTTATCCGATATCTCTGTATCTCGACCTTCCTCCAGGGTGCATTGGGGAATTCCTGTTCCCGGAGACGATACTCAAACTATCTACGTCTGGTTAGATGCTTTGGTAAACTACTTAACTGTTGCTGGATATTCTCAAGTACCTGATACAGAGTTTCAGCAATGTTGGCCTCCGTATGTTCAAGTTATCGGCAAAGACATATTAAAGTAAGTTCGTGGACATAACAAATTTCTTTGCTCTATTCTAATATACATTTTTAAAAGTATTGAAATCAAATTGTATTAATATGTTACAATAATTATTAATATGTTTTAATATTCTAGTTATATAAAAATATTACAGACATTAATTTGTTATGTAAATATTGTCTTTAAGTTTATATTTTATATGTATTTGAATATCCAAATTGCAATAATTCTTCGATATATTTTTTGTATTACTTGTTTCAAAATGTACATAATATCCGAACTATAACTGTTAGTTATTTTCGTCTGTTAACAATCTAGGTTTCATGGTGTTTATTGGCCCGCTTTTCTAATAGCAGCTGGTTTGGAACCATTCCATACTCTTCTATGTCACTCCCATTGGACTGTTGATGGAGAAAAAATGTCCAAATCCAAAGGAAATGTAATTGATCCTTTGGAGAGGTCCCAGCTATATTCCACAGATGGTTTGAGGTACTTCCTGTTGAGAGAAGGTGTTAGTCATAGTGATGGCAGTAAGTTAAAAATAATTTGCTAGTGAAAGAGTTCTAGAATGCTTCTCAATAAAGGAATATTTAAATTTGACATTTTTCAGTTTTTTGGTTCGAAAATTAACACTTCTTTATTAGTTTCTTTTTTAATAAATTATGTATGATTTATGAGTAGTAATGTTATTCCATTCATTCTATATAGCTATATTTAGCTAAATAATAATTTTTGAGAGATTTTGTGAATATTATAACCCCAGGCAATCAATAAAACAGGACTTACTGTAAATATGATACTACCCAAGATATACAAACCTGATCTAAACAGAAACAGAACCTGATTGAAACAGAACATAATATACGAGGATCTGATTCACTTTTCTTTAGAAAAATAAATATGATAGATAGGCAGTTATTTAATAAAAAATATATTAACCAAGATCATCAATATATAAGATTATTGTATAATGATTATAGTATTTCTTGAAATTAATATAATATACAGGGTGCTACAAATTCGAGGTACGAGCATTGGTATCTCGGTAACCGTAATAGATACGAACACAGTTAAATTGGGGCAAAGTTGCGCTTTAGAATATTCACTAAGATGCCATCAAAAAAGTTTTAAAAATCTCAAGGATTGCTGAGTTTTTTGGAAAAAAACTGATTTTTCTGAAAATCAAATTTATTTTCTCCTGTCAGTACTTTTTAGAAAATCAAAAAACTAATTGCACATTCTCATAGCCACTTTATTAGGGCTATCTGCTAGTATTTTTAGATTTTCAAATTAGCTGATAATTTTTGAGATACAGAGGTGAACTTATTTTTTTTAAATACGGACCTGCATTTTTTATTTTAGATTTTGAAAGAACTCGGTCTCCTGTGTACAATGATATGCTTAATGCACTTAATATTGTTTTTGTTTTGACATTTGAACACAATTTATTTAAACTAATTTCAAGCCCAGCTCTGTTTTTTTTAATATTTAATCTATTCATCGTTACAATATTGACAAGCTTTCAAACTTAACAATGACGTGGGGTAAAACATTGAATACGGAAAATCAAATGCAATAAAATAATTAATATAAATATAATATATTATAAACAATCAAATCATTTTCCCGGAAGTTGTATTGGAAATGGTAGAGCAATATAATGTCCAACGAGGTTCCTGGACCTACCGCCAAGGGGCTACATTATTTGACGTTATTTGTAAAAGTGAAATCAATTAATCTCAACATTTACAATAAAGAGTACAAAATGCATTCGGAAGTATAAGAAAAAAGGTCAAAGAGCTATAAATAAAATTGAACGAAAAATAAATTTGTGCAATAGGGGGATGGTAACCCTTTCGAACATGTAGAACATAAGAAACTAGTTTGTAGAAGTTGATTTATTTATAATAACTACGATTAATATTATGCATATTATTAGATCACACACAGATTTCAAATTCACAATAAAAAAATTAAAAATAATATCTTTACATTTCCGACCTGGATATTATTTATTTGAATCTTCCAATTGGCTCGATTTTCCTTATTCAATGTTAATTAGCGCTGATCAATATTGTTGCGATGAATATAATCCGATTAAATAATTTAAGAAACCAGAGTCGGACTTGAAATTATTTTAAATAATAATTAAACAGTTTTGTTGTTGTTAAGGTATTCAAATTTAAATTCCCTAATAAAGTGGCTATGAGCATGTGCAATTAGTTTTTGTATTTTCTAAAATTTAACGACAGGAAAAAATAAAACTGATTTTCAGAAAAATCAGTTTTTTCCAAAAAACTCAGCAATCTTTGAAATTTCTAAATCTTTATTGATGGCATCTGGGTGAACACCCCAATGCGCAACTTTGCCCCAATTTAACCATGTTCCTATCTATTACGGTTACCGAGATACCAATGCTCGTACCTCGAATTTGTAGCACCCTGTATATGAAAAATGCCATATTCTTTTTATTCAAAGATTTATAGATTTTTATCTATGGATATACAATATGTATTTATTTCTGCATCAATAATTCATAATACATCCTAATTAACTGAGAATAATAATTCAAATAATAATTAAAAAATAATATACGTCAATTTTGGCTTTTAAAATTCATTTTGATATCATAGTTACTTATTTACATGTTAAGTCGTTGGTATTTTTCGCTTAATTTGCATTTTAAGGTTTATATTACGTGTTTTTTGGTGAAAAAGGACCTTGGACGTTGTAGGACTATTTTTTTTATCAAATTAAGTCAAACATTCTGTGCGAATGAACGGAACATATAAGGTAGATGATTTGTGCAATTTGACAAAAATAAAAACATATGTAACCTTACAAAAGTTAGTACTTCGAACAGTAGAGTACATTAGCTCAGGTTCGCCTTATATTGTGTCTGGATCACGATAATATATGATCTAAGATACATTTAACATATACTATTCTGCAGGGTTGGAAAAAATCAAAAAAATCAGATTTATTTGATTTTAATTCAAAACAATATTTAAATTGAATTTTCAAATGACTAGGACTTATTTCCAATTAAATTCCTATCCTAAATGGCTAAATCTTTAGAACTCTACCCGTTATCGATAACAATAACAATTCTACGGCGTGTGTCATTTTTTCACATGGGTCACCAATATATTTCGCAAAAAAGTCGCTCGCTTCAGATCAAAAGGATTTTTTTTCAAACGTCTCAAAAGTATTAATTTTTGTCATTTTAACGCCTAGGTATAAAAGTAAAGCACTGTTACAAAAATATATTATTAAACAAAAAAAAAATATTAAGTGTCAAATTCAACGAGCGTACAAATTGTTGCTCGATTACTGTTTATATTATTTGCAATGTTTGAAAATGATTGCAGATTGATTAAAAATGATTTGTAATGTTTTAAAAAAATAGTATGTATGTTCTATTAGGTGTAAAAATGTACTTTTTGTGCTTCCTTGTAACGTCGTGTAGCATTAGAAGTTATAAAAAAAATGATGGAATGTTTTTTATAAGAATTTTCTTTTGGAAAAAATATTAAAACAACTAATACTATGCGACGGAGCTGTTCGCCGGTGAGCAATGGGTCGTAAGCTAGTGAAAATTAAATTGTGATACTTACGTCTTTATAATATACTGGGCGCCACTCAGTTTTCCATTTATTTTCGAAAACTTCTATGTTGAGAACTGAGAAATCAACTCAGAATATAGGTATTACTTATTTTAGGAATTACACAAATGAAACGCTGAGATAAACTAATAACTAAGTATAATTAATAATTAAATGTTAAGTATGAAAAATTTGATGTTTGAAAATATTTGTTGGTAAATTGTATGTATCAAAATAGATCACTCAAAATGGTAGTTAAATCTGCACGCTTCTGAATATTAATATTTTATTAATTATTCCGCAAAAAGTCTGGCGATCTTGGTACCAAAATGTAGGGACTCTTTATATTTAAAAAAACCGTACTATGTAGATATCAGAAATATGCATAACATGAATAAAATATTTCAAAGTGACTCTAAAGCAATCAAATATATAATATGCCTGAAGGGCTTAATGCATTCAAATGAACTTAAATTAAATAGGTAGATATAAAATGAAATGATCTGGCCTTTTTTTATGCGTTCTGGTCACAAGCTGGTTGTGGTGAACTGCTACTGGAACTGGATTGTGATAAAAACATCTCTGCCCAGACAGGATCAAAAACTTGTGTGGATTCAGGAGATTCCTCCGTTATTCCTGGTGTGAAATGTAGGGACAAAACGTGGCCCAAATGTCAGGTACAAAAATCAAAATGGCACCAGAAAATGCTATCATAAAACAAAATGCGTACCATAAAATAAAACCCTCTGCTCAGAGGGTTTTCTCAAAGTAAATTGGCAAAATGCCAACAACCGCCGATAGCTCCATCGGTTTGAGCCTTTACCACCAATATGGCAAGGGAAGGTAGGCACGAAGTGCGAATATACACCGTCAGATATAAAGTCCAACAAACTTCGACCCGACTGAAATATTTCGCCAGAAATAAACTTGGAGAAAAAAAAAAAGACAATAGCAGTACTTAGAATGCCATCTCGGTGCGAGGACTTAAACTTGATTTATTTAAATAAAATAATTCTGTACATTTATATAAATTATGTGTAATTTAAATAAAATGCTACAGTCGGAATAGCTTTACGATGGTCGTTCAAAGGTACAGTATCATCAAAAAATGTATAATTCTTACTCCTAATAAAACAATACACTATTGTTCGGAAATACTCTTAAGTTGAGAATGAAATTAGTATTATCTAATGTCACAGTGTAAAATACTTACTGCAGATCAAAATGTCGGTAACAATTTGAAAAAATACAACCATTTAAAAAAATATATAAAAAAACATATTTTCTGACAACGATTATTATAGATTCTCGGGAATGAAGATATAGTCTCTATATCAGAAGAACCTAGTTCTGCACTAGACTGCGAATGATATGTATTCGAACAGCGAATTTTTGTCACTTATACATAAATTTTAAAATAAATCCCTGCATTTAGCGGTCTAATGGATTCACACGAAATTACTTCAAAAATCGGTCCAACATTTAAATTGATGAATATATATTTTTATATAGTTTTATATAACATTTACAATTACTTTTCGATTTATTATCTGTTATATCTTTTATAGAAATATTTTTTATAGTTTTCTAGGACACATTTTTATAACTTTTAAAGCTATTTTTTGATTAAAAAAATATTATTAATTATTTATTTTAATTTATAAAGTTTTAATAAAATTATTTTTTTATCTAAATCAATGATTAAAATTAAAAATATCATTTGATTTAAATCACGATTTAAATCATGCCAACCCTGCTATTCTGTTTATTTTTATGTACACGTTATATTTTATAATATAATGTCATTGAACTTGTATTTATATACTTTCTAAATGCTTTTAGCACGAATAGAAATATTCATTGAAACTATATACGCCAATAACTAATTTTCAAAAAATCATATTGTCTGTGGTCAAATCATACTGTATACAGAGAAACGGTTTGTTTACATTTTGTTTGTATATGTTGGGACCAAAACAAATTAAGGTATATTAGTTAGTCTATTACGATTACAACATTTTGAAAATATTGCATTATTAAATTTATTGTCATTGTAATAATATAACTGTTTTTGTTTTTGACAATTCTTAATTAATTTACGAAGAAATAATTCCTAACAGATTACAGTGACACCAAGGTTATTAGAATACTAAATTCAGAACTGGCAGACACACTAGGAAACCTCCTTAGTAGATGTTGTGGAAAAGCACTAAATCCTTCTCAAACTTATCCAAGTATTAACACTGAAGTCCTAGAGAAAATATCAAGTTTAGAAGTAACCAAGAAATTACTCGACAATTTAAACAATCTTCCAGGTACATAAAACCAAGTATTATTCTCCGACAAAGGGATCTGAAGCAGCGAAAGGAATGTAAACAAAAAACGATGTTGTCATGTTTAATAATGCAAGAGCAAAATTTCTTAATATTACCTGTGAATTTAACATAATATTTAGTTCATTTTAGCATACAGTATTCCAATTTAATGTATTTAATGCTTCTTATTATACACTGTATCAATTTTAAAACTTTCCACTCTTAATATCTTTCTTACAGTTAAAAATATGATAAATCGGAAAGACACGTCAATTTTATTTGTAAAGGGGACACTTTAAATGAATATTTTTAGCCTTTTTCTTTCAACCTCCTAGGAGGGGTAGATGTCACCCTTACAATCTTAAATGGGAATGGGGGTCAAGTGGCACATCGTTTTAAAGGGCGTTTGATTCTCGTTTCAGCGGTAACCTACTTTGTTGCTGTTGGTCCAGAGGTTTCCGAATAATCGCGTTTCAAAGTTGCAGAAACAATTTAACATGTCCGCAGTGAAATGTTGGTTTTCAGGCTAGTGTTTACACAAATACTATTGCAATGGGTCTCCTCCCAACAAACATTTGAAGTTAAAATTACGTTAAATTAACCATCTGGACTATTATTGACCAACTGGAAATTGGTCGAAATTTCCAAGAATTGACGTTAAAAATCCCAAAGTGGGGAATAAAACTAAAGTAATTTGGAAGTTAAAAACAGGTTAACAGGTTATAATGTCTTGTATGGGCTATGAAGTCAAAAATAACCGACCTGAGGTCATAACATGGTAAAATAGAGGTGAATTTTACTAAAAATAGTCCAAATTTATACTATACTCTGTTTTTTTTTCTCAGGTAAGATTTCGACAGACGATGGCAGAAGAAAAGCAGATGACGTCCCATACCAATCTATTTATTTTACTAAAAAAAGTTTCTAATAATTTTTAAGTTATCTATGGATGGGTTTAAATATAAATCCGTCATGCGTCGTGTCTTGTTGTTTTTAACCAGTTTTATTGGTTTATTTAAAAATGACAGATCGTATTTCAATTTTATTGGTTTGACGGAACGATGAACGACAAACGGACGCCGATGCGTATGAACTCGCCTTTAGATTTTTGTCATTTTTGACGCTTGTCAAAGTCTTGCCAAATTATAGGTTATAATTTTGTGTCAATTTTTGTTAAATACCCTGCGTTTTGGAAGATGGTGCATTTTGATTCGTATTATTACGTGTGTTTTGTGTCTTTTGAAGTCAAGTGGAGGAAAAATCGAGTGAAAATTAACTGTAGACCCAGAGCATAGTTTATGGTTAATACTCGCTGCCCAGGCAGAAAGTCTTATACACCAATGAAGTTGCCATCGATAAAGTTTGTATACCATTTCGTCGTAGATAAGTGCATCTCATATATGGTAGAAGGATCAAACTAAACACATACTAAAAACTGGAGTAGCTGTAAAATATCGATACGATAGGTAAATAATGGATTTTAGTACTGCAGAAAAATAATGCCAAAAGGTACTGGTTTAAAAAAATTAAGATTAAAGTTAATTAATCAACCTTTAAGGTATAAAATTTGGTAGGTGTTATTATTAATAAAATAGTTTGTTTTATTTACCTATGTTGTTTTATTTATTCCTGTGGAATATTACAAATTTGTATTTGTACATAAGTTATATTGATAAATATAATCATAAATGCGGGTAGTTTCATAAAGCTTGAAAGTAAATAATAGTTCTTTTTATATTTTTTGGTATGTAGTGTCTTGTTCTTGTTTGTTTTGTATTAACACATACCGTTTTTATTAAATAAAATAACTCGATTACATTTTTTCAGTTTTATACAGTTTTTTTCACAATATTTTGAAGTAATCACTTGTCATCTTGTCAATCAAATTTTAAATATATCCTGCTATGCGTTCCAGTTGTACCAACTTATTTCTTTGTAAAATAAAATAAACTACTTTGAAATTAAAATGACAGACACATCTATCACTGTCAAGGATCTTCTCGTTGGACAGACTATACCTACATTTTAACATGGGAAATAAAGAGAAAGAATATGGTAAAGTATTTTTCTTTTTAATATGTGTATGTAAATGAATTTCCCAATAATGAACCAGGCAGACAAAAAAGTGTAAAACTGGCATGGCCGTTTGAACATTACTACCTACATATTATTATATGCACTTCCTAGTAAATGTAAATAAGTTATTGGTAAGAAGTGGATTACTGGATTCCCAAGATAATTATGTCTGCGGAGAAATTTTTTCTGTGAGATGTAAATATGATAGGCCCTAAAAAATTATGCGCCATTAAAATTTTATGTATTTTCAACAATTTTAGAATAAATCGCTATTTTCAAAGTTCTAACCTCACTTTTTTCAGCTGACTTCCTTGGTACAATTTTAAAGTTCTTAATTAGTTAATTTAATTTGTGGTAGGTAGTATTATTCATAAACGTCTGTTTATTTTTCTCAATAGTTTAGAACAATATCACAAAAAAATATTTTTTTTAAACAAATTGGATAAGAAAATAGCCGCTAATGGTGTTTTTAACTATTCGTCTATGAAGTTAGGTTTTCCATAATTTTAAAACCTTAAAGTCCGCTTTCTTTGTATGAGGTTAATATTTCTTTAAATTAATAACCTCAAAGGTCAAGATTTCTTGCTTAAGGTATTTTTCCTTCGAGGTGCAAGTTAAAAAATGATGAACGAATTGATGCAGAGGGTAATCCAGTTTTAGAGGAGGATTTGTTAATATTCCAACAGGACGGTGGTCTACCTCATTATTTTCTTCCGGTTCGACCTCGGGTTCGACAGTGGTTAAACGAAAGATTTCTGGGTACATGGATTGGCAGAAGGGGACCAATTGAATAACCTCCAAGATCACCGGATTTAACACCCTTGGACTTCTTTCTTTGGGGAAATATTAAATCCATTGTTTATAAAATGCTACTGATATTGACCAATTCCCGGTGAAGTATTCCATAATGTTAGGGAGGAGTTTGGAAACAGACTTTATTATTGTTTACAGGAAAATGGACAACATTTTGAACAACTTATAAAACAGGAAGTAAGTGGTTTAACCTAATCTTCTAATCATTTGTACTACAAGAAGATTCAATGCAATAATTTTTGCGGGCATGTTTAATTGTTTCTGCAACTTTTTAGCGCGATTATTTGGAAATCTCTGGACAAAAAGCAACAAAGTAGGACACCACTGAAAAGAGAATTAAACGCCCTTTAAAACGATGTGCAACTTGACATCCATTCCCATTTAAGATTGCAAGGGTGACATCTACCCCTACTAGTGAGTTGAAAAAAAGGCTAAAATTATTAATTTAAAGTGCCCCCCTTACAATTAAAATTGACGTGTTTTTCGGATTTTTCATATTTTTAACTGCAAGAAAGATATTAAGGGTGGGAAGTTTTAAAATTGACACAGTGTATGTAGTATAACTAGTAGTGGGAACTATCGAATGAATACTATCGAAACATTCGATAGTTGCAATTCATTCGAATAATTCGATAGTAAGAAAACATTCGTTGAAAACTATTCGAATAAAAAATATCGAATAGATCCGTCATCTGCCTTGAAATATTGTATTCTAGTAATTCGGCAGCAAAAACCATTCATTTATAAAATTCATTCATTTATGAAATTCATTTATTCGTCAGGATCGATTATAATAAAATATTAACTGAATTTTAGTTGTCGCCCGGCGACGTAGGTTTCTTTCCGAGAAACCCGACAGCGGTCGGTGGCAATGCTATGAAAGAAGCCGGCATCTTTGATTTTTTGAGGAGTCAGATATAGATAAGGACACATTATTTTTTTTATTGAGGTGCTAGTATTTACACAGAAAATACATTATGAAAGGCGCTGTTGCCATATTTTGGTATTAGTTGATATTAGCAAAGAATATTATTGTTTGGCTTTAATTAGTTAGGGATAGTATGTCTATATATTCTGCATTTTTTTTATTAATATTCTGTTGTTACACTGCAATAATACTTGTTATTTTGGATGTAAGAAAATGATTTTTAATGTTTTCAAGCAAAGACTGGTTTAATAAATAATAATAACAGTAATAATTTGATATACCTATTAACAACAAAATTTAAAATGATTTAATATAAATATTTTTTTTAAGTAGTAGCAAAATATAAACAACAAATTAGATGTCAAAATTATTTATATTAGATCCTATTTAAAAATAATATAGTCTCTAATTTTTTTGGCAACGTTGGTTTATTAAATAATAATAATTACAGAACTAATTTGTTATATTAACAACAAATTTTAAAATCATGAAATATAAACATTTATTAATTTTCTAAGCATGCAGTGTAATGGAACGAAAATATAAATAAAAAATTAGAAATCAAAATTATTTATATTAGGTGCTTTATATTACTATTTAAAAATTATATTTACTTTTACTGGCATTTACTTTAAAAAATAAATGAAATATTTCTTCGCAAAAACTACATGTTAGAGAATTAGCATAAACAAAATACAAACATCGTTAATTTTTTTTTAAATTGACACGTGTAAAACTTTCATTTTAATTTTCTCACCCCATAGTTTGAGTTCGATAACCATTTACTTAACCACATTACTTAAATATGATTATTAAATTCAACTAATTCATATTATTAAAACATCTAAAATACAAATATGTATTTTTAAAATTAATTCTAAGTTCATCTCATCTCTCTTAAAAATTGCTACTTCACAAAATTTCCCATTAAAAAATAGACCACATACCATATAAAATTAAATAATTGAAAGATCGGACTACGGAAAACCATACAAATTTTCGGAAAAATTTTGACCACCTGCACATGCACACAATCGTCAATAAATAAAATTAAAAAATAACTACTATTTTAGTATTTTAACTATTTTAATAAACGCAAAAATAGCACAGTATTTATACGGCGAAGTTATAAAAATTTGGAAGAACTAATAATGCACTGACGCATACAAAAATCAAACGAATACTAAATTTCATTATTCATTTATCAAAAGCATTCGATAGTCGTGGCGCAACGATAACCATTTGGTCGCACGGCGAGGTTGTCACATTTGCTTTAGTATACAAATGAATGAATGATTTTATTCGAATAAAACCATTCGATAGTTGAAATCATTCATTCATTAACCATTCGATAGTCTAATTCATTCGATAGTTCCCATTGCTAAGTATAACAGTATATTTATTTAATTTACTGGTTTTCTGAATTCTGCTTATTATAAAAGGTAAATATTTCCTAAAGAAATCATCCGCTTCGGATAAGTCGGCAACGCTGAGAAAATTAATTATAGCATCCTGCATTAAACTAACTAGATTGGTGGAGATGCTCGCATGTTTCAATGTCAAGCGATAGCCATGCGTTTAACGTTTTCCTATTGGCCAATGCTACCCCTCATATTATGCCCCTCTGGAAATAGTCGAAATATTAACTAGTATTGAAATATCCAATAGCGGTGTTATTGTACTGTATTTTATACCTCTAGCATGGTTTGTGTATAGTATATTTAGTACACAGCTTTCTAACAAATATTGCTAGACTACTATATTTAGAAAATCACTAAATGAAATGTAGATATCTACATATAAATTTAAAGTTAACATATAAATGTTTACTGGAAAATATTATAGAAATTCCTAATATTATATTTTCATAAAACACCTCACGCTGGATATTTTACGAATGAAATCGGCCATGTTTTTAGAAAACTGCGTTCCCCTTACCATTGCCCCGATGTTTCAGATTTGTTTGTCAGACTGTAGAACCATAGTAGAAGGAAAAGAGTAGTTGCACTCTCCCAAATATTTTCTGCCAGTTTTTACAATCTGTCGAATATCGGCAGATTGCAGAGCGTTTCAGTTGAGTTCCGTCCGTCGACCTGCGAGGTTCGGGTGTTGCGTCCCAGCACAGTGACGGATTGACAAAAAATGCGTGCCTTACTGTGTGCTGCCGTTGGTTGTAGTAATAATTCAAAAAATTGAGCTTTGAGAGTGATTTGTAATCATGTTTGTGTTCAGGTTAATTTTCTCATGACTGATTACTACTTAATAATTTGATATTATTTTCATTTAAACCTCAATTTTTTATCGATTTTACTAGTGACAACCATCCCTTGCTTGCTGTTTAACGAACCATCATTGAACAAAAATTTGCTAGTACCGAAAGTACCGAAAAAAAACCTAGAAATCCCGGTTCCTTAGAGGCATGGAACCGAAATTACCGGTTCCGAAAAACAGCTCCGGTTACGGAAACGCTATAACGTACCATAACCGTGAATCGCCCTATACAGGGTGAGTTTTAAATAAGAGCAAATCTTTTTAGCGGTAGTATATTTTGACCCTAGAAATATGAGGATTTTTCTGCGCAATTTTTTTTGAAAAATATCTGGAAATTTTTTTTAGTGTTTAGTTAAAAAACATAGTTTCTTGATAATATGGTAACTAATGTTCAGAACTGGAAATTCACGGTTCTTTTGAGATATCAAAGAACCGGGACTCGAAATTATTAATTCCCGGTTCTTTCCGTACCTTCGGGACTCGATAACAATAACTAAAAAATTATTTTTTTATTACGTGAGAAAGTAGTGATGCTATTTCTCATTGTTCTTCCTTCTTTTCTCTTTTGAAATTTTTGTAATGTTTATTAGCAATTATTGAAGTTTAATATATAATAAGTTTTAATATTTTTTCCTCATTTCTTCCCATCAGAAGATTTTCAAATACAGAAGAATGTTGCTTACACGAAATGTGAAAATATTCTGTTTGCTTGATGATCAATTTTCTTTTATTTTATTTTATTGTGAACTTATATTTTCCTAAATACATCTCTGTGAAACAATGGTGAGTGCAACTATACTTTACCTAGTTATAGACCACGACTATACAGCTACGTCAGTGGTCACGGGACGCGAGAACAAGGTCATATAAAGTGGCAGAAAAAGAACAAAGAATTTGACAAGGAGTAAAGCAACTAGTTTCCTTATACTATGGTAGAACCATTAACCTGGCAGCTATACAATATATGTAATTTATTTTTTAGATTTGTGCGAACAACATTACAATGAATTTAACTTCTATAAGGCAACTGATGCTGTTATAGCAACTTTACATTCGTGTAATTTATTCTTTGAAACATTGAAACCATGGGAACTGAAGAAAAGGCCAGAATCTAGTGAAGAGTTATCCGTTGTTTTGCATTTAGCTATGGAGTCGTTAAGGATTTCGGGAATTATTTTGCAACCACTGATTCCAAATATCTCCCATGTTTTATTGAATAAACTGGGTGTTCCGAGAGAAGAGAGGTATTTTGAAAACTGTAGAGAGTTCTCATGGACTGACTCGGGTTTTCGTGGAAGAAGTTTAGGAGAAGATAAAAATGCGCTTTTTAAAAGGCTTGTGACAGAAGAAACCAAGAAAGTAAAAATTTCTAAAGTGTAGTTTTAAGAGTAAGATTAAATATTTATTTGATAGACGTTTGTATTATTTCATTAAAACAATCAATTTAAAGAGAAGTAATATTAAGTGTGTATGATTCCAAAAAAATGATTTTTTTAATAGAAATTAGTTTGAAAAATTGCTCATTATTCAAAATCTTAGCTAGATAAGTATAGGAAACCCTAATATAATTTGAAAGAACATTTGAATCTGCTTCGATTTATTTTAAAAAATATAGGATTTTGTATTTAAAATAACGAAGTTTTTATATAAAATTAATATTTAAAATAGACCAGCAATTTTTGATACCCCTGTATACATTAATCGAAGCAATCAATTTTTTTTTGAATATCTCAAAAACCAAAGCTTGTAAAACATTTTTACTAACATTAACCCTAGTAATTAATGCCTTATATTGTGTCCAAGGATCCAAATATGAAATAAAATACCGGGTGTTCCATAAGAAAAAATGTAACTTTGGTATGAATCTTAGTTCTGACATATCCTGTACAGGGTGGCGAACCTATTTTTGTTGCTTCTATAGGGTATCTAGAAAACCGTGAGAAATATTCAAATTTTGATACTGCAGTCTCGGGCTCTTTTTTTGAAAAAATCACAAAGGCGCAAACGGATTGTGGCTATTTTGATCGGTTTCGAAGCTACAGGGGGATTCTCAAATTTTGTATTTTTGAAGATGTTTGATAGTTTGTTTATTTCAGCAATCACGGAAAAATGAATTATACGTTCTAAAGGCACTTTTCTGTGTAGTTATTTAGATATTTTTTAGATATTAACTACACTTATGTTTTTTTTTTAAATAGAACCCCCTGTATATTTTTAAATTTCCTGATTCAGGTTGGCACGGGCTTTTCGAAAATATATAACACTTCATATTTATTTTCACTATTAACCTCAACATTTCAATTTTTTCTTAAAATATCCAAGTAGTAGGCCGTGCCGAGTAACAAAGTAAACGGTTGTCATTGTGATCGGAACATACCTTTGATGGATGCGTGACATTTCATTTCAATAGATTGAGGTGTGTGTATTTTAAATAATAAAAAAATGAGTAAATTTAAAAATTTTGAGAAATAATATATGTTAGAATGTTATATTGAGTCTAACAAACATAAACAAATGGCAGCTGATTTATATTTTGAGCGGTATCCTAAGCGCGAGCAATCAAACCCAGCCATTTTTAAAAGGTTAGAAGATAGTTTAATCAATTTTGTATCTTTTGAAAAACCGCATCTGAAAAATTATCAGAAAGAAAATGAAGAAAATCAATATATTAATGTCCTCGGAGCCGTAACACTAGATCCAAGAACATCAAGTAGAACTATTGAAAATGATGTCGGAGTTTATGATACAAAAACATTGAATATTTGAAAGAAAAATAATTATAAATGCTATAAAGCAAGGAAAACCCAGCTTCTACATCCTGGAGACGCAGAACGCAGAATCGAGTTTTGTAATTGGCATTTGGGAATGTTAGAAGCAAATGAATTGCTTGATCAGATTATCTGGAACGATGAGTCCAGTATTTCAAGTGATGGTATATTCAACCGGCATAATAATCATATTTGTGCAGATCAAAATCCCAATCAACAAGTAAACAGGGTAGCACAAGGGCGATTTGGATTTAACGTATGGGTTGCTTTACTGGGTAACAGCCCATATAGCACGTCCAAATGAAATTACGTTTCTACAAGGGAGAGACATATCGCACCCTTGCTTCAAAAGTGACACAACTCAAAAATTGCATTTTTTGAGTTAATAACCTTGAGAAATTCGTAAAAAGATGCTTTATTTTCCAACAAAACCGTATTAAATTAACTTTAATGGTTTGCCGATAGATGGCATTAGTGTCGTTTTTAATGATCAAAACAAGAATAAACCATTTTTTCAAGAGCGACATCATACCAGTTTAGTCTCTGATCTCAGCGGGAGCACACGCTTCCATCGGTCTTAAAAAGTGTTTCATTTTGAGTTGTGCCACTTTTAATGATCAACAGTGCAGTGATAATCAAGATTATTTGTTGTTGTGACAGTTTTGATGAAAAACATTACAAACTTAATTTTAATTATTTTAAGTTGTGTCATTTTAAAAGAACAGGTAAGTTGAAATGTTTGTTTTTATTTTAAGTTGTGCCATTTTAGATGCTAAAATTAAGATTTGCTTAAATTTAATTAGATTTAAATTTCAATTAAATTTAAATTTAAATTATGCTACAAATATTTTAAAAACTAAAAAATAATAAATGTAAGCAAGTAATTTGTTTACTTGTTGTTTTTAAACATAGCATGTCGTAATTTTTGTTTTTTTTTCAGTTTATAACCAGTAAGTATGCAGTCAGCAGGTCGTACAGCCAAAATTTTAGAATTGGCCAAAAGAAAATTTGAAGTAAACAGTACACTATTGGATGTTACCAATACTAGAAATGTTGAACAGACTGAATCCGACTATGAGAACCAACCATCAACTAGCGGCTCGCAAATTTCTGGTCAAACACCCAATACAGAGATTTCTAAGCAGCTATCATCTAGCAGCCATCACCCAGAACCAATTCCCTTTGAAGTTTCTGATCCAAAAATAGTTCTTCCACTAGAATCTGATTTAGAAAGTGAAGTTCAGACTAATTTAGCAGAGTCCATTAGCAGTGAATATTTAGGTAGGAACAAAATTGATATTTTTATATTTTATTATTTACTTAAAATTGTTTATATTGTTTTTTATTAAAATTTTTCTGTAGGAATATTTGCAATAGTAACGTAGCAAAACGTAGGTACTAAAAGATTGTGATTGTGATCTATTTTTTTTGTTTTTCTTTAGGAGGCTCCAAAGGCATATCTCAAAAGCATGTACAGTATGATGTATCGTATGAATCCGAGCGCCCTACAGTTTTAAGGATATTGAAAAAGCCAAATTACTTTGTGTCTCCGGTTCATAGCGGAGAAAGTGATATGGATGACTCAGATGAAGATCCAAATTTTGATAATACTAAAACAACCTTTAATCTTAACCCAGCTTCCGGATCCAAAAGTTCGACCAGCAACTCAAACAGCAGCGAGGGCGAAGAACAGAATGAATACCCTAATGGCAAAGAAGAAGAAGAGAAGAAAAAAGGAAAGAAAAGAAGAAGGAACTTTGAGAACTGGGGTGTTACTCAATCTAAAAAACTAAGGAATTCTGGACAGGCGTATATATCCAGTTCAAAATCCAAAAAACAATTTCCTGCAAAAAGAGTAAGACCTGGTTGTGGTAAAAAATGCAGATTGCAGTGTGACCTAAAGATTAATGAGCAAATTAGAGAAGAGCTGTTTCGCAGTTACTGGGCACTGGCTAATTTAGAAAGACAAAGGGAATTTATCATTGCTCATTGTGAAGAAATAAAACCAAAATACCGTTATTCGAGCACTCAAAATGTTAGAAAAATGAATTTCAGCATTTTACTTTGATGTAAACAGTAGTCGGGTAAGAGTTTGTAAGTTATTTTTTAAGGCAACACTTGACATAAACGATAGACCCATTCGTACAGCTATTATGAAGAAAAATGAAACTGGTTTTGTTAGTAAAGATTTGAGGGGAAGACATGGCAAACAACCCACAGTAGATCGAGAAATAAAAGAAAGTGTAAGACAATTTATAAACGCCATACCAAGAACAGATTCCCATTATTTAAGAGCCCAAACAGAACGGGAATACATTGACAGTGGCAAAAGTTTGTCAGATTTACATAGAGACTATCAAGAAGAAAGAGAAAGAAGACAACTTCCATTTGCAAACTATATAATGTTCAATCGCATATTCAACACTGAATTTAACATTTCCTTCTTTGTCCCGAAAAAGGACCAGTGTGACGTATGTGAATCGTTTAAAAATGCCGATGAGGAAGGCAAACATAAATTAATTGAAGCTTACAACTCGCATTTAAAAGAAAAACAGCTTTCTCGGGCCGAGAAAGAAAAAGATAAAAATAATAATACTGCTTCAGTGGCCGTTTATGATTTGCAAGCGGTATTGCCGTTGCCGAGAGGACAAGTTTCCTCATTTTATTACAAGAGTAAAATGAATTGTTATAATTTTACTATCAGCGATTTAAATGCCAAAAATGTTGATTGCTTTTTTTGGAATGAGACCGAAGGAAAGCGCGGTGCAGTGGAAATCGGTAGCTGTGTTTTAGAATATTTAAAATCCTTGGCAGAAAATAAGAATAATGATAATTTGGACGTTATATTCTACTCTGATAACTGTTGTGGACAGCAGAAAAATAAATATTTACTTGCTGCTTATATTTATGCTACAACCACGTTTAAAATTCGGAGCATTACACATAAAATTTTTAATTCATGAACACTCTCAACACGAAGGTGATAACGTCCACAGTGTTATTGAAAAGCAGATAAAAAGATGCCTTAGATCTGGTCCAATTTATGTTCCAGAACAATATATAACTTTAATTCAAACCGCAAAAAAGAATGGCCCCCCATATCGTGTTCATGAATTAACTTATGAAAATTTTTATGATTTAAAGCTACTTCAAGAGCAAATAGGTCATAATTTTACAGTTGACACAGAGAAGAACAAAATAAAATGGCACGATATTAAAGTTTTAAGGGTCGAAAAAAATGAACATAATAAATTTTTCTACAAGACTTCGTATGAGGATAACATTTTTAAGACTGTATTTATTATGCTAAAAGCCAAAAACACTCGATCTCAGGACAATTTGGAAGTCAACTTACCTATACAATTAGTTCAGGCATATGCAAATAATTTACCATTATCGGATAATAAAAAAAGGGACCTGAAAGAACTGGCTGATAAAAACATAATTCCAAAATATTACTACAACTCTTTTTATAAAAATGTTTTGCAAATTTCAGAATAATATATTTTTATTCACCAGTTTTTTTAGAAAATTTTATTTAATGTTTTCCTTTAGTTTGTTTTGTTTTAAAATCTAATAATTTTTGCGTTTCTTTGTTGGTATGTACTAAGTATTTATTTACTTTGCGCGATGTTTGTTCCTCGTAAGTTCCTAATAAATGTTATTTTATTGTACTAATTATAAGATGCACTATTAGAATGTACATAAGATTCTTTAAAAGTACCTGTCCTGTTTAAGTAATTAAACGATTTAAAATAAAACTTGAATTTCATTTAATTTAAGGCACTTTTTTTATAAAAAAAGAGTAATTTTTTTAAAAAATGTTTTCTTCAAAAATGACCAAAGTGCTTAAGACGATCGTCAAAAGTGACATGATTTAAAATATTTTTCCTAAAATAATTTTTTTTTTCGACAACAGTGGCACAACTACAAAAGTCATTAATTTTGACACTAAGTAGACGTTTTAATTAATTTATCTTATTTTTTTAGTTTTGGAAGGAAAAAATCATAATAATTACGTTTTTAAATTTATAAAAAAAATTATATTTATTTAAAAAACAGTTTTTTGCGTTTTATGGAAAACTTGTTTTTTTGAGTTGTGTCACTTTTGAAGCATGTGTGCGATATGTTAAAGTGAACCTAAGTGTTCATCTAGTTCTAACATATACATATGAGATACACGCAGGTTTATATTGATAGAATTGTGTGATACAGTGTTTACTAATAGTTGTATACCGTATGCACTCAAGATTCTAAAGAGTTTTTTTGTAACGTAACAAATAATTATTAAAATGATGAAATCTGACGTCGGTATATGAGACATACAATGTATAAGTCATATGTATGTGTGATACTTCGTATCATAGTTGTGCCTATAGTACACACCTTGTAAAAATGTGACGTATACACATAATATAAATATCTATATAGACACTTTGTAATAGTGTACTGTTGTGTCTACATTCTAGCATGAAATGAAGGTGTGCGCATGCGCGGATAGCCTCAGCGTAGATACACCGACCAAGTGTATCTTATGTGTCCTCTCTCCTTTCTCCTTTCTAGGAGTGGTATGTGTTAGCAGCCATTATTGTTTTATCATTCGGAAGCTCTATATAAATGTTCTGTTTGTGTGTAGTTTAAAAGAGATTGTAAGGTAAGTACAAGTTTTTAATTACCTTGTTACACCTTCCTAAGAGTATTATTAATATTATAGCAGCGACTCTTCCCCTTACTCGATACCCAATTTACCAAATTTTGACTTCAATGAATGAAAACTCCAAATATTGTAAGAGGTTAGCTGAGTTAGCTCTGCAATATAATTTTTTTAATTTGGAAATAATAAAAATCTAAATGAATCAGAGAAAGAAAGATTTAAACACTTCAAAGAACTTCTTACACTGATATTCGGTAACTTATTGATGGATCATTATACAGATATGTTTAATATTCAATAATCAGTTTCATATAAAATTTAAGGGTGAGATTGTTAATCTGGAAATAAAATACAACAAAGTCCAACAGAGTGCTCGATAAATGAGTATGCTAATAAACCAACTGCTTGAAGGGAAAAGAGGAGAAAAAAATGACTAAACGAGGTCCACCAAATCGTGGCGATATACCGTTGCATGATATAAAGAAATATAAGAATTTTATTTTTTAACCACTTAACCCATTTTATGGAAGAAAAATGGTACATTTAATACAAAACAAAAATGGAACAATTTTAAGGCTACTTCTCTTGAACTTACGATCGAGATACTTTTGGAAAATACAAAGTTTTGCCTTCCAAATTTTCGTTCTAAAAAGATATAATTGGTATCATTGAATAAATATTTCTTAAAAAGAACGAAAATTTAAGCATCAAAACTTGTATTATTTCCTAAATTCGTTCATAAGAAGTAGTTTTATCTAGCACAAGATGTATATACGAAGCAAAATACATACGTATACACGCGGTAGTTACAACTGCAATGTGTAAACATAGTTTAAACGTAATACACAAGCACTGTGTATCCCTTACTTTGTGTATACGTAAATGCTATACTGTGGCTACATTGTGAGGCGGACGTTTAACCTTTGTGCATACGTGTTGAACTACAATGTGTAAACGTAGCATATTTACATCGGGGAAATTGTGTCACCCTGTGTCTACATCTAATAATGTAAACACATCGTAAATGTGATTTGATGTGCTGTATGGGAGAGTTCTTGCCTATGCCATATACCAAGGGAATTTGAATTCTCACCGATATCTTCAAATTTTAGAAAAACACATTGTTCCATTTGTGGACAAATATTCTTTCAGCAAGATGGAGCTCCAGCTCATACAGCGGCAGTTGTAGTCGAATATCCCAACGTGAACTTTGGACAAAAATGGATTTCAAACAATGAACCAATCAGGTGGCCACCTAGATCACCTGATATCACTCCCTTGGACTTCTTTCTCTGGGGCTTTCTGAAAAACGAAATTTATCAAAATGCAAATAGAACATTAGAAGAGTTACAAGATAGTTTTGTTGTGGCTTTGCAAAGTGTAACCAACATACACATTCGAAATGCTGTTAGCGGCGGCGTGCGGGGACGGTGCCAACTCTGTCTAGATAATAATGTGCATCAGTTTGAACATTTAATGTAGTCTTTGTGTTTTGATTTATTTTTATATTAACTGAGAAGGCCGATTGAAGTAACCTGTTGAGTTGAGACGAAACAATAAGTTCTTTTGTTTCTGTCACACTTATTTTTTATTTGCTTTGTATTGTTCGATTTTATTTAATTGCTAATACATGGATTAATTTGATTAGGCTAGTTAGATTCGCTTGTTTCCTTTAATATTTGGCATGACCTACCAAGACGAAAATCGATATCTTTAACTAAATTGGAATTTTAAAGTTAATAGTGAAAATAACTATATAGTGTTATATATTTTCTAGAAGCCCATGCCAAGCTAAATCAGGAAATTTAAAAATATACAGGGGGTAATAACTATTTAAAAAAAAACATAAGTAAAGTTAATATCTAAAAAATATTTTTTTCGAAAAAAGTCTGACTACTCCACTGCCATTCTACACAGAAAAGTGCCTTTATAATGATTAATTCATTTTTGCATAGTTGTAGTTGCTGTAGCTGAAATAAACAAACTATCGAACATCTTCAAAAAGTACAACATTTGAGAATCCCCCTGTAGCTTTGAGACCGATCAAGATAGCCACGATCCATTTGCGCCATTGCGATTTTTTCAAAAAAGAGCCCGAGACTGCAGTATCAAAATTTGAATATTTCCCACGGTTTTCTAGATACCCTATAGAAACAACCATAATGGTCCACCCTGTACATTTCAAAATAATTTTAAATTATGCAATTTGCCTTCCCACATATGCCCATAAAATATTTTGTTTCTACATGTTTCCGTTTTCCTAACCAAACCAAACCAAACCACCCTGTAGATTTTTTAAAATTATTCTATTAATTCCTGATACGTCGTGAGACATTCATCAAAGTCCAAGATATTCCAGAAACGCCCCTTCTCCTTTCTTTTCCGTCTCTCATCCTGGAAACTGAGATAGATATATTTTATAATTGATTTATAATATAATTTAAAACAATTATAAAATATTTACAAAACAACTATAAAAATATGCATTTTACTTTATTAAAACATTATCGACATGTTTTATAGCTATTTTTACGACTGATTTATAAAACAATTAATTTGGTCTTGGCAATAATTTAGTCGCGACCGCTACTCTAAGAAAACAATTTTAGAATTGCTGTTAAAGTAACGAATTAAAATTCTTATAAAGCGATTAAAAAACAAATGTGTTTCCCCAGAGACATTCATCAAAGTCCAAGATATCCCGGAAACGATCCTTCTCCTTTCTTTTCCGTCTCTCATCCTGGAAACTCAAATTTTCACTGCGCAACAGGCTGGGCTTCGGGCGTCACCCGCACCACGTCGCTAAGCCTCGTCGCGATTTCCTAATCGATATACCCTGATCTCTTACCCGTCTATTTTGACGGGAAACTTCCCTGTTAAAACCCCGGTCTAATCGATACGACGAAGCATGACGGATATCGAACCCAAATCCGCCGACCTAATTACACAGATCCAGTAAATATTGGTGGAAAAAGGGCCTGAAAACGGCCTCCAGCCTATCCTCCTTCCTTTTGGAAGGAATGAGCGGAGGATAAGTCGCAACAGGTAAGTGCGAGGGAACGTGTTGCTCGGCGGATGCGTGCCGCACCTTCTGTGTGATGTTTGTGATCGCTAAGAGGATGGCGTTGGCCCAATGTGACAGATCGTTTCGCCCACGTAAGTCGGCATGACACACATTTCGTGTTTTTACCTATCCCCTCTTTCCTTCTTGATGTGTTGTATCCTGGACCGACAAGGATATACATATTTAGAACTACGTTATTTTTAATAACTGTTGTGTGTTGTTATATTCTCGAGTCAAATTAATATTTTTTGTTGTACTAAATGTTAATAATGCAGAATTATAACAGAAAATATATTGTATTTTTGAATAAGATTTTACAATTATTCTGCACTATACAGTGTCCCTTATAATGATATATTATGCTAATATTTAAGGATGCGATTCTTTGGATCTATTCTAACAAAGAAACTTCATATGAATGTGTGCCGTAAATATTTTAACGCTTTTTGAGATATACAGGGTGGGATAACTCTTTTCGAGATATCACCTCTTTCTTCTTTTAATGTATTATTATATCCCGGACCGATAACGATATACATATCTAGATCTACATTATATTTAATTTCTGTTGTGTGTTTTATTCTCGTGTTAAATTAATATTTTTTGTTATACCAAATGTTAATAATCCTAGAATTATAACAGAAAATATACAGGGTGTCCCAGAAATAAGTGCAAATATTTTAAGGGGTGGTAGATCTTAATAAAAGAAACATATTTTCTCTTTATCGTTTTTCAAATAAGTTCAAAATAACGCAGTTATTTTACTTTGAAAATTCCAAAAAAAAATATTTTTTGCTAAAATTTTGAGAACCACTGGATCTTTTCTGGATTTGTTGTGTGCTAATACCATGTTACCATATTATCAAGAAATTATATTTTTTGACTAAGAACTAAAAAAAATTCCAAAATTTTTTTTAAAAAATTTCGAATTTTCAAAATTTTTTTTTCGCGATAAAAACCAGTTAAAATACTTGCACTTATTTCTGGAACACCCTGTATGCATAGGATGTATATATAGGATCTACATTAAATTTAATATCTGTTGTGTGTTTTATTCTTGTACTAAATTAATATTTTTTTACTAGTTATGCTAAATGTTAATAATCCTAGAATTGAAGGCTTCTCTCGAATAAGAGGCTATGTTACAAAAGTAAGTTTTAAGTAAATGAAGAAAGACGATTTTTACGGTTTGCGTATTGATAATCATATTCAAGTGGTACTAACATCAACTTTATTAATCTCCAGATATAAAAAGTTGCACAACACAAATAATAATAAACCAGTATTAGAGATATATGTCCGTATAAACTCTTGAGTCCCTGGAATAAGGGTTCATGTGAAATGTAACATAAACTCTTATTGCAGGCAACCAATTTAGATTGCAATTTTTTTTATGTACAATTTGTACATTTCTTAACCGTTTGTTTTTAATACACCTCCATTCAGTTACATTTATTTTTCGTTTTCGACCTTTATTTAATGTTTTGCAAAGCGACGGCGTGACTTGAACGTTTGACATATTTACGATTTTGAATAAAATAAAAATAAACGTTTTAACTCCTTTTGAGATATACAGGGTGGGATAACTCTTTTTGAGATACTTTTTGAGATATCAACTCTTTCTTCCTTTATGTATTATATTGTGGACTGATAAGGATATACAGGGTCCGGCAATAGTGCATCGGGCATCTGTAGCTCCTAGAATAAGGAATCAGGGAATTTTGTTTAAGTGCACACCTTAAGTTTTTACTAGGATGTTATTTTATGAAAATATTTTAACTTCTTCAGGATGGCTCAAAAAGTGGATTGGGATGATTTTTAATAGAACACCGTATATAGTATTACATTCATTCCTTCCAGATCAGTTTATCATTTTTTTATATTTCGATAGTTTCAGCGATTTTAATTAACAAATAAATATATATTTTTCAGCCTTTCTTAAAAAAATATAAATACAAGGAGTATCTTGAAATCAAAATTATATTAGCTATGTACAGGGTGGGTCAAATTCGACGCTTTTAAATGGAAACATCCTTTTCTATAGGAGATAGACGAAAACTAATATCGGTGTCTGGAGCTCAATTTTTGTCAAAAACATGATGGTGAAAACCGCATATCGATATCTGTTACCGTTTCGGAGTTACGGGGTGTTTTTCAAAAATATGCACTTTTAACAAATCGCTGTAACTTTTTTGCTATGGAAAATTTTGTATTTTTATGAAAACATTTCCAAAGCACCTTTTTACCTAGAATTTAATGGTTTAAGTATAATTTTTTTAAAATTAATAATTTAAGAGTTATCAACAGAAAATTTGATTTTTTATATAGGACATCCTGTATATTTTTAATATATTGAAAAGAATTTAAAATTACCTTTCCAAAGATATAACACAGTTGATATTTTCCTCGATTCCTCTTCGAGATATAGAGTATATAAAAATTCGCCCGCTTTAAATGAGTAGGCTTTGAACGGCACCGGCTGTAATGCAAAAAAATCTAGCTTTGAGCATCAATTAAAACGAATATAATAATTGCTATGAGAGATTCAGAATTTTATAACTATTTAAAATATATTTAACCAACATCAACACATTTAAACTATATCTAATAACAATAAAACTAAATAGCAAACCAAGACATGAGATTTTGCTACAGGTGTTCGACATATCGACCGTCTTCTGTTATGGACAGACTGGGCAGTTTTTGAACATTTCTCGCGGAATTCATTAATTCAGTAGGGGTGAAAGATACCCTCTCATAACTGCTAAGTATTTCTAATTCTTGTCTAGATTATAAGGATATAAGGAAGAATAAAGAACCTTTATTTTTCCGCAAATATATCCATAGGATTAGATCCATGGGCACTAAGTCAGGCGGCCTCGACGGTCAACGGCTGGAATCTTGGCTAGCTATTCAATTATTGTTGAAATTGGATGCAAAAATTTGCTGATAACTTCAGCGCTCAGAGGCGGTGCGTCGTCTTGCTGGAAAAATATGTTTTCGAGTTCCATTAAGGGCATATCATCAATAAGGGGCCCAAAGCCTACTAGTTAAAAGTGGCGAACTTTTAAAAATTCTGTATTTCGAAGGGAATTATAACAAAGTATCAAGTGTGCTATATTTTTGAAAAGGTAATTTTAAATTCTTTTCAGTTATTTAAAAATATAGAGGGTGTCCCAAAAAAAAATCAATTTTTCTGTTGATAACTCTTAAATTATTAATTTAAAAAAATATATACTTAAACCATTAAATTCTACGTAAAAAGGTGCTTTGGAAATGTTTTCATAGAAATACAAAATTTTCCATAGCAAAAAAGTTACAGCGATTTGTTAAAAATGCACATTTTTGAAAAACACACCGTAACCCCGAAACGGTAACAGATATTGATGTGCGGTTTTCACCATAATGTTTTTGATGAAAATTGAGTTCCAGACACCGATATTAGTTTTCGTCTATCTCCTATAGAAAAGGGTATTTCCATTTAAAAGCGTCGAATTTGACCCACTCTGTACTTTAGATGGCCTGTACTTGCTTTGGAATAAATATCGTAATCTTAAATCTTACAGGGTGTTCACAATTTTACGCTAAACTTTCTAAAATATGAAATAAGTTTTCTTTGTTTTTTTTAATGGAACACCCTATATATTATTTCTTTACGAGATAGAGAGTTAAAAAAGGAAATTTTTTTGTATTTAAAAGTATTTTAGAATTTTTAATGGTTTCGCAGATACTCGCAGTAATTTTTTATAATATGGTAAAATACGAGAGAAAAAACATTCTCTGTGGCTCTGATAAAAATATTTAAAATAGACAGCAATAATAATATCCCCTCTTTCTTCTTTTATGAATTGTAGTCTGCACCGACAAGGATATGCATACTTAGAACCGTTTAGAACTCCCATATTTTTAATTATTATAACGTTTTCTATTCTCAAGTAAATAAAATATACTTTTGTACAAGATTATAAGGTGTTTCAAACAACATGTGCCATCTCTCTTGGGAGATTCCTCCCGTAAAAATAAGATTTATTTTTCATATCAACATAGGACCGATTCTGCTTTGTTTCGTAGCTACAGGGGGTTAAAGTTTTAACAATCTTTCGATTTATTATAATTTACTTCCAAGTACTTTTAGCGATTCTAATGAAATCTTGAAGGTAAAAGTTACTGTAAGTTCTACATATTTTAACGCTAAACAAGTCTCAATAAATTCATAAGTCATCAGGGACGTGCGTAGGGTTTATCACTGGAATATTTTTCAAAAAAAAACCATGTGCGCCACTGACTTTTTTCATTTGATATCGAAATTGTATAGACCGTTTAATGCCAATTAAAAGTTATCTCTTGATATTTTGTCGAATTCGGCCTCCATGATAATATAAACGCAATTTTATTAATCACAATTAATAAAATTAAAATTAATAAATTATATATTTTCCCTAATTTATTATTAAATATCATTACTGTTAGTTATTATTACTATTAATCCAACCTACATCAATTTCAAATAAAAAAATATTGGTATTTAAGATAATTACAAAAAAACTAATTTTAAAAAGTTTTAACACCCTGTAGCTGTAAAACTATGCATTTCTATACCCATGTTTATAGGAACTTTTTTTCATATTTTTCATACGTTTTTTAAAATAAGTCGGAGCAGATTTAAATGCTCTTTCAAACTATATTAGGGTTTCCTATATCTATCTATCTATATTTCAAACTATATTAGGGTTTCCTATCTTGCTAGTGTCCACACTAAAGGTGCTACAATCATACCACTCCAATCTTGAAATTCCAACCTTATCCAGATATTCTCTTACTCTCTATGTAACGTGAGAAGCCTTTATCATGCATTAATGCAAATTGCTCGTACAAGAAATGAAATAATGGTACGATTCAAAATACACAATGTTTCTAATACATATAGAATTGCAGAATTCCATTTATCTATCAAACTATCCGTCTTAATTTTCCCACAGGGTGCTTTTAAACTAGGATCATCTATATAATTTTAGTTTTTACCTCCAGAGGCCTAAAAAAATCTTTCATAACATTTAATTGATATAAAAATCGGTAAAAAGTTTGGAAAATGGAATGAAAATAAAAAAGTTATGGAACATAGTTGCCAGAAATTTTAGGGTGGCGGAATATCTTGGCGGAAGTTTTTACAAGAATTTTAGATATAATACAGATAATAAATATATTTTTTCAGATACTGCTAATACAGACATGATGTCTGATTTGGCCGAAATGCGAAAAGTGCTGGTACTATATACGGGAGGAACTATAGGAATGCAGAAGAACCATAATGGTGGTAAGTTATATTAATAAGTACCCCAGTAGTACATTATTATTACAGTAGCACACTATACCGGGTGCGTCTCAAAAGTGGCTCATCCCCATAACTTTTTTATTTTTTCAGTTAAAAAACCGAGATTTAGTATGTTGGTATATGACATAAGTTAGGATTGATTGTCTCACCGGAAATGACTACAACTTTTCATTTTTAAATTGCACCCTCTATTTTTTTACTTTATTCGATAGAAAATAACACTCTGAATAGAATGACATACCATATCTCAACTTTTGACATTTTCGCATATGGTTTATTTGAAATTATAACTTGCGGTTCGTAACGAAAATTTGACTCGAAATACCAAGTGTGTGGTGTCAAATTATTCATAAAAAAAATTATTTTTCCAAATATGCTAATCTTCGTTCCATTTTAAAAAATTGAGATATGATTAAAAACACGATTTGAGCATTTTGTAACTGGCCAGGACAAAACACTAAAAACAGACGATCAAATCTATTTTTCCAAGGCTCCTTGATTAAGAATTAGTGTTTTTAACATACTCACGGCACTCTAGATTGAATTTTAAAATACGATTTTTTTATTAACCGAGAATGTCAAAAGTTGACATATGATATGCCATTCTATTCAGAATGTTATTTTCTATCGAATAAATTAAAAAAATACCGCGGGTGCCATTTAAAAATGAAATGTTGTGACTACACCGGAAATGACTATTTCCGGTGAAACAGGAAGTGACCAAAAACAATTGAATACGTCAATCAATCCTAATTTATGTCGTATACTAACCTACCAAATCTCGTTTTTTTATCTGAAAAAATAAAAGTTATAGGGGTGAGCCACTTTTGAGACGTACCCGGTATTGGCTCAACATTGATTCTATATTGGTAAAATAATGTATATGGGCCCAGTAATGGCCATTTCTAGCCTATATTGACCCAACACGCGCAAACCAGTAACTAATGTTTATTTTTATATGTAATATTTACCCAATAATGGTAATATATAAAAAATGTACGAATAATATATATTTTTCTATATCTATATAGAATATGAACCTTTTAACCGTATCTTTAATATCGGGTTCATATAAAAAGTATATATTGGGCCATTAAATGTAAATATAATATTTTACCTATATTGCTGTGTTACAGGGGTATGATTCCTAATACTTTTGCCAATGATTTAAAAACAAAAAGTATAATTACTCTTAATCTAAACATAGATTAGACGGTGACTAGGCTATGTATTTGCCATCTACCATTAGATTTTTGTTTCTATCTAATGTTGGATATTATGTTTTCCAATCATTTTGCCACTTGACATGACGAACAAAAAATTTTTTTTTTGATACACCCCCGTACAATTTCTCAAAAAGGAAAGTTATCTAACATTATGGAAAATAGGAATTAAATCACTGAATAAAAAAAAGTAATAAGGAAAGTTGTAGCCAAAATTATGTTTGATTTATGCATCCGGAAAACTGATAAAAGTTTCCTTTTCTAATCTTTCAGTGTATGCTCCTGTCCCAGAAGTTTTTGCGAGTAAAGTTAAAACATGCCAGGAGCTGCACGATTACGAATTAGCCAGAATTTACTCCATAAGAGACCACGAATTGATAACCAAGTAAGTTTAAATGATATTAGAATATACTATCTTAAAAATTACTTTTTAACTTCATAATAGAGTTATGAAGTATCCTCATTAACTTAAATGTACGGTTCGTTGGAAAAATATCTTAGTCGAGAACCAGTATTTGAAATACCCAGACGTATGGCATGCAATAAAACTCTGGATCAAGGAGAAGCATACCGTCCATTGGAGAAACAGATGGGGCCACAGACATAGTCAGGACCAAATCCAAAGACCTAACTCTAAAACTTCAAAGGAAATGTTACTGCTCAGCAGGAAATTGCCAGGACCTATAGCTGCCAAGTGCCCCCTAACAAGCTCAACCTGTATCAACGAAGTAATTGCTACAGACTGTACCATAAATATCATGAAAGAACAGAGAACATAATATATCTCTATAAGGCTATGGACCGCATGCTACACATTCTACTATAGAAATCAAGGATAGAACCCTATGAACTACTTTCATTCTATCAAGGACCTGCACAAACTGGTACCGGGTACAGCGATCGAGAATTGGGTGTACACCATGTAGAATGTAGAATGAGTAAAAGGGGGGGTTAATCACTGCGACCTTACAGGTCTATTGTGCCCCCCTTCCTTGAGTCATCACACAGTCTACAACCCATCATACCCCTGTTGTAGATAGGAGGGTATTTCTCATCCTCCTCTGACAACAGTTCTTCCTCCAAGGGTACACACCCTTCCACGGTTGGAGTTTGGCCCTCCGTGCCGCCCTTTACAGTCGAGGAGCTTGCCTCCGGCTGAGAAACCCGTGAGGTAGAGGAGGGAGGATCTGTCTCCATTTTCTCCACCTCTTTAACTTGGTCTCTCCTTAGACCTGATTTGTCCCGTATCTATAACAGAGGATATGTCCCTCTTTCTCTATTGCCTCCTTGGATTTGAGGTCAATTTCTATTGTGAGGGCCTGACCATGAGCCTCCTCCCTCGAGTTGATGACTCGCCAACTCGATGTCCTTACATTGAAGTTCTGACCCTGGATAAGGGTCAGCAGGTAGGTGGTGTCTTTCCCCGTGCTCCTCGGCAGAAAGACCGTGATGGCCGCCCCTTTAGGGATGTTTTCTCCCTTCACTGCAACCAGTTCCGGCCCCTGCCAATTTTAAAGCTTAGGTGCGATTTCCACCAACCAATTCGCCGATTCTTGAGATACACAATCTATGAGGATCATGCCCACCCGAAAGTGTATCCCCGCAAAACGAAGCTGACCCACATTTTGTAGATCATTGTGTTGCGATCTGATCGCCAGTAGGTACTTCGTCCAGTATAGCCTCTTCTAGAGACGTTTGCTGGTCGGTGGTCAGAGGAACCTCAGGGAAATCCTTTGGCAGCACCGCCATGTTTACTTGCCCAGCAATAGCGACAAAGCTGATGATACGTCCCTGCTTGCCTCCCGGTGATGAAATTATTATACATAATAAACTTTTAAATCCACATTAAAAAGCAACCTGTAACTGAGAAATTTGTTTTTATAGGATTTGGATTGATTGCATCCATGAGTTGCATATTAGAAAAAAATGGTTTTTAACATAAACGCAGAAAAATAATTCTTCGAACGATTGCTTGTGGAGATACGGACCCAAAATTTTATAAAAAAAATACTAAATGGTATAATGACAATATCTGTTTTTAAAAAAATAAACACCTTTGACAGAATATACATCTTGATTTTTTGATATCAGCTTTAATGATGTAAGGGTGGACACAAATATTCATATTTGTATGTCGTATTATTTTACAGAGCTCTTCATTGTAATAAAGTAATAACATATCAAATCCAAGAGTATCAACCTCTTCTAGCTTCTAGCAACATGACTGCAAAAGAGTGGATTACTATAGCGGAAACAATCGAGGTAACTTCGTGACGTCGTTTCTATTTTTTTTAAATATTTGAAATCTGGTTTAATATGTATTTTTAAATTTTCTCAGTTACCTCTTACTACTTCTTTTTTATTTACTATTTTTATTTATTGGTAATTTTGGTAAATTGGTAAAGTATATTTTTTTATTATAGAAAAACTATCATGACTTTGATGGATTTGTGATTTTACAAGGGACTGATACAATGGCCTATACATCATCTGTGTTATCGTTTATGTTTAAGAACTTGAATAAACCAATCATACTGACAGGGTCTCAGGTGAGTTGCTATAATAATTCTCAAATAATGTATCTATTATTAAAAATATACAGGGTGTTTCAAAACAAATGCGAAAAACTTCAGGGGGTGATTCCTTGTTCAAAATAAAGGGTAGTTTACTTCATAAACGTTGGGTCAAAAGTCAACCATTAGGGAGATATTGCGGTACAAAGATGGCGGAAAAATAATGTTTTTATTTTTTATCTTGAAAACGAAAAGACATAGACTAATAAAATTTTATGGAACCATTACTGTTATGAAAACACACTTTCTGGTAATTTTTTCACTTTTTTAAAATGAGTGGAAGGGGTTGAAATAAACTACCCCTATCATTCTTGTTAACGAAATGTAAAGAAAAATCTTATCAAATACATACAAAAAAACTAATTTGGATAGTTTAGTTTGTTTAGAAACTTTTTTATCTCTTGTATTTTTTTGATAAAACTCACCGATTTGAAATTAAAAAATAAAATGTAAAGCATTACATGTCAGGACAAAAAACATTTTCTGATAAAGAATCTAGTGGGCTGCTGTAATTTTTTTAGGAAAAAATCTAGTCGGCCTCTGTTACTTTTTAGGATGTTCCTAATATTATTTTATTTGACATTAGGTACTGCAATACGTTATTATCTAGATGATTATTATTATCGTTATTATCACTAGATTCTTAATCTAAAAATGTTTTTTGTCCTGACATGTAATGCTTTACATTTTATTTTTTAATTTCCAATCGGTGAGTTTTATCAAAAAAATACAAGAGGTAAAAAAGTTTCTAAACAAACTAAACTATCCAAATTAAAGCATTTGCATGTGTTTGATAAGATTTTTCTTTAAATTTCGTTAACAAGAATGATAGGGGTAGTTTATTTCAACCCCTTCCATTCATTTTAAAAAAGTAAAAAATTACCTGAAAGTGTGTTTTCATATCAGTAATGCTTCCATAAAATTTCATTAGTCTATCTCTTTTCGTTTTCAAGATAAAAAATAAAAACATTATTTTTCCGCCATCTTTGTACCGCGATATTTCCCTAATGGTTGACTTTTGACCCAACGTTTATAAAGCAAACTACCCTTTATTTTGAACAAGGAATCACCCCCTAAAGTTTTTCGCATTTGTTTTGAAACACCCTGTATATAACGTGTTCCAATATTCCGTGGACATAGCTACTACATATTTTTGGAATCAAAATAAATTCATTGGACACAATTTACCTCTATACAAAAGTGCATCGTTTGTTCGCTAGAGGGCATCAAACTTTAAAAAATAAACACATTTTTTCAGATATCTTAAAAACCGTTATTCCTATTGAAATGAGATTCTGGGTGTCTATGTTTTGCTAAGTGCTCTAACATTTGACTTTCACAAAAATCAAGAAAAATTACGGGAAACTACCCCCGTACATAAATTTTAGTATATATTTTTTCCGACTCCACCGAAGACCAAATTTCTTTTCGTAAAATGGTCCCTCTATTATTTACTACATTTTTTGCCTTGTGTAAAAAAACGCTACCATGCATACTTTTTGAGGAAAAAAATATTTTTTCAAAGCTCACTTATGTAAATATGTTATGACAATAAAATATGTTTTTGTCACATCGAGCTATGGCAGCACATAAAATCTATTATGCTCAATAATCTAGCTGGCGAAAATATGGAATTTTATGTTAGTATCACAAATTATATTTGACAATAGGTTTCATAAAAAATTAATACTTTGTAAATTAAGAGTTGATTTTTTATTGATCCCTCTAACGGATAAACAAAGCACTTTTGTATAAAGGTAAATTATGTGCAATTAACTTATTTTGATCCAAAATATAAGTAGTAATAAATAATAATAACGCTTTATTGTACTAAAAGCCAAAATAGCTTCATCGACAAAGCATTTACAAAACAAACAAAAGCACAATACATATATAAATATACAAATAATAAAAAATATCATACAATTCAAAAAAAATTACGTCATTAAAATTATTACCTACATTAATACATGGACATTGCAGAACACAAAAAAAGCGTATCAATAAAATTTTAAATGGATATAATCATTTAAGAGTCATAAAATATTAAATACTAGACTTTTAACCAGTGTGTGATATGATCAAGATTTTAAAATTCAAAATTGTTCGTGATTAAACAATAAAAAGTCTTTAGTTGTTCTATGTCCACAGAATATTACAACTCTTTGTATATTTTTAGGTCTGCTTTGGAAAAATAAATTCTCTAAAAATGTTTAACTCAAAAACTATGCGATGTAGCGGTTTTCTACCAGAAATAAAAAATGTAGTAAATGCTAGAAGCATCATTTATAAATATATAAAATAGAAATAAACATCAATGACATTCCCCATATAATTTTACATATAAAAGGACAGCGATCTTTATTTAATAGCCATCGCTGATGCCGTTTAGTTTTTTAGTTAGTTTTGAAAAACAGAAAACGAAAACTAAAATTTTAGACTCTTTGTATTATTAATATGACATTATTTTTCAGATTCCTATTTTTGAAACTCCAAGCGACGCGAAGAACAACTTTTTGTATTCGTTAGTGTTCGCCAGCTGTTCAGATATACCCGAAGTGTGCGTGTTCTTCGCCAACAGACTGTTGCGAGGAAACAGAGTTAAGAAAGTTCACAATTCGCAAATAATAGCCTTCGAAACGCCTAATTATCATATTCTAGCTGAAACAGGACTGCATGTAAAAAGTGGGTATTACTAAATTATTCTTTATATTTTGTTTTCATTAACCTTCCGGAGGTCGCGTTTGTTTGTTACATGAAAGGGGGGGGGTCGCGCGCGGACTCTGAGTCCGCATGCGAAATTCAAGAGGTCATAAGCGTTGCTAGTGGTGTAAAGACATAAAATAATATGATAATCAAAGTATCAATTATTTATTGACTTGCTTCATTACACATAGCAAACATAAAGCATAAATATATATATATATATATATATATATATATATATATATATATATATATATATATATATATATATATATATATATATATAAAACAATCAAAAAAACAAATTAATAAATATTTTTCAAAAACAAAAATAATTAATAATAATGAAAAAACCAACCCGTATAACAGTGATTACAGAATATTTGTGTGTGCTCAAAACATACGAAATTGTGACACTACATAGAGTAACAAGTTGGTCTGTTTTTCGGCCTATCACAATTCTGTAGTGCCGATCCTCTGGTACTACTGTATTCAGATTCTTCAGAATCTGAAATTTATTTATCAGAAATTATTTTGGGCCCTTGCCTTTCTATAATATCCACTTCTCGTTCTTCCTTTTTATCGTCAAGTTCAGTAGTTAATTTGTCATCTTCTTCCAAACAGTCTTGCATGAGCTGTTGCAATCTTTCTTGCAGAGTAGACCTAAAAAATACTTATTTAATAAAAAAGTCGATTATTCACTTTTTTATCACAATTTGCTCATTTTCAATTAAAACAAACCAGTAAAATAACTTACCAAGTTCGACATTATAAAATTATTGATGTTAAAATAGTACCATAAACGCCTGCGCGCGGACTGGCACTCCGCATATGAGTATAAAAAGATACTAACTACTCTAAACGATGTGCAAACGTACACTTCTCATAAAATATGCAGTGACAGGAAGCGGCGCAGGAACTGATGTTTCCAGATTTTCGAATTATCGGGAAAAATAGGTATCTGCGGACTGAAAGTCCGCGCGCGACCTCCGGAGGATTAAAAATATTTGATTAATTATTAATAATCCATATCTAGGTAGATGGTATAGAAACTACCATATATCTATATCATCTACCTACTACTTTCCTTGTTTCTAATTCCATGAAAGTCCATTCTTTTATCACATTCTTTTAATAATATCAACAAGCTCACAGTTTCTTTCTATTTTTAGTGTATCGAAACTTTATGCTTCCCAAAATGGAGAGAGGAATGTTGTCTGTTTTTACAAATTTATGCACTCGCGTTGGTATTCTACATATCTTTCCAACATTATCTCGAACGCAGGTAATATAAAAAAAAAAATTTGAAAAAAAATGTACACATGGCCAAAATTATACATTCATTTTTACTGGGTTAGGTTGTAACCCACTTGATAATTGTCACTTTTTTCTCTTTATAAGAAGGTGCATTTTGTTTTCGAGATATCATTATCAATTTTATTATTTTAAATACGGATTTGATTTTTTTATATTTTTAGACATCATTGCATTTGGGAGGAAGAGAACAAGTGATGAGATATCATCATCATCGTCATTATTTTCAGCTTATTCAACCATTTCCAATTATAGTACACTCTCCATCGCATATTTATTGTTGTCTGTTGTTGGCTATGCGGGCCCAAATAATCTCTAATATTCTAATATCATGTTCCCATCTTAGCTTCGGTCTACTTCTAGGTCTCTTAATTCCTCGTGGGTGCCATGCTGTAATTTTTGTGGTCCATCTGTTGTCCGTCCTTCTTGTCAGGTATCCTGCTGTGCAACTAGGCTGTTATTATAATTTTATTTTATAATAAATACAAATTTCATTTTAAACAGAAAATATTGAAAACAATTTTATTTATTTCTCAGTACTAATAGTCTGTATTCGGGACGGGTCCTCGAGCCTCCATGCCAGCTGTGAGACGACGCGACGTGGCATGCTCTCAATTAAGTTGTCCAGAAGATATTGAGGAATGGCTTTCCATGTTTCGCGCGCAGCAATTTTCAATTCATTTAAGGTATGGGGAGGGGATTATTCCTTTTGGCAATATGGCATTTTAGCATGTAGCAGACATGCTCGATCACGTTCATATCTGATGACATCGGTAGCCACCGCAGTTTTCTTATACCCTTTCTTATACTCCTCTCGAAATGGACGCACAATAGGCTCTAAAACGTCTCTAAGATATGATGCACCTGTAATTGTGCCATCAATAAAAACAAGGGGAATTCTAGCTCCGTGCTTATACCTGCCCATACCATAATGCTTCCCCCTTGAACCGGGACACGGGGTTGAGCTGCATTCAAGCTCATCCAGATGCTCTCCAGACCAAAGTTCGTCGCGAGTCTGACACTCTCTAGGCCTATTGTTGTTTCATCACTAAACATGACGAAATTCCATTTGCTCTCATCTCCTCAGCCCATTGTAGTCGCATAATTTTATGGTGTAAATTAAGCTTCGAAACACGTAGAGCCTCCTTAAATGTAATCCTCTGTCATGGAGTATTCTTGCTATGGTCTTTCTTGAAACATTTACTCCTTCAAGGCGAGCTAACTGATTTTTAATAGCAGTACTAGAAAGCAGGGGATTGCGTCGTGCAATTAGGGATATTTGACGGTCTTGCACAGCAGTAGTAACTCTCTTTCTACCTCTTCCAGGCCGGTCTGTAACCTCGTTTGTCTCCCTGATTTTTTTTTAATATTCGCGAAACATCGCTTTGGTTAACTCCTACAATTTCAGCTATTGCAACTTGCCAGTAGCCCTGTTGAGACAGTGTATTCTGACTCTATTAAACTGTGAAATAATGTTTCTAGGAATTTTAAGGCCAAAACAATGGTCAAATTTCTTCTGAAACCCAAGAGGCCACAAATTAAAATGTGCAAGAATTTGTAATAATATTGTAAAACTTTAACTTTAAACAATGTTTATCGTTCAGACCCAATATTATTACAAATTCTAACATTCTATTTCTAAACATTGTTTATCGTTCAGAATTTTAACAAAAAAATGTTTATTACAGATTATCAAAGCTATGTATAAAAAAGATTCTTTAAATTCCTTTCCGTATATTTTTAAACGATATATGCAATAATTTTGGCCATGTGTGTATGTGTATATATCCTAGATCATTTATACTTACGTGGATAAATCAACGCCATAAGTTTAGCATTAAAAAATATGTCCTCAACATCACTACATGCCATTTTCAAACCTTTTTATTGCACTTATGAAACGTTCAATAGGTTTGTCTTTCTCGAGGACCTGACTTTACGCATGCGCATTAAAAGTGGCACGTATTTCTAAAATAATTACAATTTTATCCGGTTTAGAAAGTACAAATTATACATTGTTATGGAAACCAACTTTTCATTGTCATCATATTGTCATAATCTTGTCATAATCATATGTCATAATGTTATTTCCATTGTGTAACGACGCTTGTTTTTTGCGTTTTTTTTATTTTAAACATTGTATTAATTACTCTTTTATCGACCGCTTTTATATAGCCAAGGATGCAAGTGTGTTCAGTGAGAAGTTAATTTTAAGTTTGTGCAATTATATTTATATTTTTTATTCGTTGGGTTTTAATTTTTGGGTAAATACTCGTAAAAATGACAAGAAAGTGTTTGGAGTGTGGAAATTAAAATATAAATGTCCCCGAATTATCTTTTCACAGGCAAGTCAAGTGTTCACTTGTTCTTTTATGTAGGTATATTAAACCACATGCATACTTTCTGGTTAGATTTACTAAGAATATTGATATTCGTATGGAGTGGCTAATTTATTTGTTATATAATTTAATTTTTGTGAGAGTAACATTCAATTATTGTTCAAATATATACATTTTGCAAATTAAATTTTTAAAATTAATGTCCAAATTTTGTGGCGTGGGCGATAGGTCCTCGACAAGGATAGATAGTGAAGCACCGCGTGTGCAACAAAAAAAGAAGGGGTAGGGTATATATATATATATATATATATATATATATATATATATATATACAGGGTGTCCCAGAAATGAGTGCAAATATTTTAACTGGTAGTATAGTTCAACCCCAGAAACACGCCTATGAGGTGTTTTTGCGAAAAAAAATGTTGAAAATTTTATATTTTCCGGAAAATTTTGAAAAAACTTTTGAGTGCCACTGTTCACTCTCCGAAATTCGTTTACCGTGCATGGAGAGAATCTCGGAGAGAATGCAATGTTGCCACTTCCTACCATACCCACACTCTAAATGTTTATAAATTCACAGTAATAATTTTAATGGGCTGCAACATAGCAGTAATCATAATCATAATTTTTGTACTAAGCATAAGCACAGTCACAATCAAAATTTTAATATGCGTTTATACAACATAGTCGCATAACTTGGAAATGTAAATACAGCTGATAAAGTAACCTAATTTTCTTATTTTTCTATTTCATAATCATTTTAGAAGTGTATTTTTGTTTAAATTTTATTACTCAGGTTTTTTAAACACGAAAATTATCATAATTATTAAACATAAAAATGAAAAAAAAATAAAAATAATGCCCCTAGCCGATTTTTGGTTTGGTTTGGTTTGGTTTAATTTTAACTTTTTTGATTGGGATTAGGACTCCCAATCAAAAAAGTTAAAATTTACGAACTTCAAGGTTATTAAATTATGCTTATGATTACGACTGCGATGTTATTACTGCGATTGTTATGACTTTTATGATTGTGACTAAAATTGTGATTATGATTACGATTATGTTGTATAAACCCGCCATAAGTTTCTATAGAAATATACGAAAACTAAATTTATTCATATTAGTGGACATTGCTAATACTAATTTTAGGAAAATGCGCAATGTTTTAAGTACTTTTACAGTTGAGTAGGCTGAAAAAAATAAATTATAAGAGCTTCTTTTTCGCCATATTAGGATTTTTTTCAATCGTTTCAATCTTTAAATATTAAGTTAGAGCTTACCCTTTTGATGAAAATTGATCAGTATTTTTATCCAACATATACCATTACACATACACCCCAAATATCTAATAATCTGAACATCACAAATCTATCACTTGCAAAATATTATTTAAAATGTTTCACATAATAATTAAACACTAAACTCACAAATACAACAAAAAAGTGTTAAAAACTTGCTTTTAATAACTACTTAAAACCTCTACTGAACTCTCCCACAAAAGAAAATTAATGATTTTACACCAAAAGTGCCAAAACTTTACGCGATACACGCACGATACACGAATACACGTACAACATACGTTGATTTTGGTTTGTTTACATTTTTAAATGATTCTGGAAACCCCCGAGACATCGTAAATACCGTTAAGAGCAGTAGGGCCCTCTACCGCTCCCGTATAATACGACTTGCCTTGCGCGCCACAGTGCCGATTGTCCGTTCACAAAAAAGCTTAATCCGTTATTCTATAGATGTCGCTGGTTAATTGATTTGAGTTTAATTTTGGTAAATAAGATGATCAGCACAATCGACTATCAGAAATCGTTCTAATAGGGTAAAGGTGTGGATCCGGTGGCTGACCTTGAAGCCCATATTTGCTGCATTTGATCATTGATACTACGCAAGCGCACATCGTCGGTGTTGCCAAATTGCAGTTTATTTTCGAATTCTTTGCAGTTCAAAATTATTTTTTTTGAGTGTGAATCAGTAATAATACAAATTCTATAATTAAGTTTATAATTTGAGACTTATCTTGATATCCAAAATTAAGGTAAGAAGGAAAATGAAGATTGTGAAATGAAAGTATTATGAGTATATAAAATTGTAATAATAATAACGTATGTATTTATATATTTACATTAGAATTAAAAATTATCATTTACGGATTTTTTCTTAATGGTTTTAAACTTATTAGAATTATTTTGTATCATCAATATGACACATCATTTATTACTCCAAGTTGTTTAATTTCTAGTTATTTACAGGCAACAATAGTTTTGGTTATATGTATTAAAGTACTACCATGACGAGTCTTATAGAACAATACACGTCAATGGGAGATAGAGGTAACATTTTACCTACTTTGATTATAATGTTTGTATCATAGTTTCTTAAAAATATCAAGTTAGTAGATTAATAGCAATTTTAGACATATATTTTATCGAAGAGTGTGTTGATAAGACTAAAATAAGCTTTATGTTTTATCTTTTTTTCTTTAGAAGGGAGATGGCTTGTGTCGTAGAATACATTACAGTATTTAATATCGTGTACTTTGATATTCTTTTCTTAATTTACTGTAATTAATTGTTTCCTAAAATGCCAAATCTTGACAATATGGTGAAGGTTGAGTTTTGATCTTATTAGTTTTATACCTATGTTTATACAAGACTACAAGACCAAATTAAGACTTAGTTAGTTTGTGATTTATATTAAGCTCTTTCTTATAATATTTGTTATGTCTTAATCTTAATACTATATCATGCTTTGTCTGGAAAATAAATGTTAAAATATCTTAATTTTCATATCCTATTCCATCCTTCCATAGGAAAAATATGGTTTATAAATCATATATGCTAAGAAAATCACATACATTAGGTGTAAGAATAGATTGCTACCGAAGGTAGCAGAAAATTAATACAATATATGTATAGCAGAATTAAACAAGGTAACTGTTAATGTTGCTGAAGCTGATTCTACAATTTTAATTACGGAGGCTAAAAGGCCTTAGAAAGCCTCCGTAGTTTTGATGGAATGTTAAAAAAAACCTATTATGAACATGACATGGAGCTACAGCATTTAAAAATTAAAAAAAAAAGAAAAAACTTGGACACATCCGAATTTTTAATGAAGCACTTTTTAAACGTAGCATAATAATCTAGAGCAATTAGATTAATTATGGGAATCTAGAGTTTTATTTCTATTTAATTTTATTGACTATGAAAATACATAATAAGCGTTCACGTGTTGTGCGAAATATTAAAATAATAATATAAATATATACCGCGTACTATGATTGAAAAAAAAATAGCGTCAGCGATGACTATGAAATAAAGATCGCGGTCATTTTATATGGGAAATGTCCTCAATCGTCATTTCCCAGCCAACTGGACGCCGTTTTTTCGATCATACGGTATATATTGACAAAAAAACACTGAAAAGCACATATTTGTTTTCTACTGAAAATAATTCCAAAATAACTTGCAATCTGGCAACATCGAAGATGTGCGCCTGCGTAGTGTCTGTGATTATATGCAGCAAAAACTCGTTTCAAGGTCAGCCACCGGATCCACACCATTTACCGCACTAACAAACATTTTAAACACAATCTCCGATAACTTTCTGGAGTTTTAAAAGCTAGATACTATTAGAACGATTTCTGATAGTCGATTGTGCTGATCATCTTATTTACCAAAATTAAACTCAAATCAATTAACCAGCGACATCTATAGAATAACGGATTAAGCTTTTTTGTGAACGGACAATCGGCACTGTGGCGCGCAAGGCAAGTCGTATTATACGGGAGCGGTAGAGGGCCCTACTGTTCTTAACGGTATTTACGATGTCTCGGGGGTTCCCAAAATCATTTAAAGAATGTAAACAAACCAAAATCAACGTATGTTGTACGTGTATTCGTGTATCGTGCGTGTATCGCGTAAAGTTTTGGCACTTTTATTGTAAAATCATTAATTTTCTTTTGTGGGAGAGTTCAGAAGAGGTTTTAAGTAGTTATTAAAGCAAGTTTTTTAACACTTTTTGTTGTATTTGTGAGTTTAGTGTTTAATTATGTGAAATATTTTAATTATAATATTTTGCAAGTGATAGATTTGTGATGTTCAGATTATTAGATATTTGGGGTGTATGTGTAATGGTATATGTTGGATAAAAATACTGATCAATTTTCATCAAAAGGGTAAGCTCTAACTTAATATTTAAAGATTGTGTAAGACCCTGTATATATATATATATATATATATATATATATATATATATATATATATATATATATATATATATATATATATATATATATATATATATTTTTTTTTTTCACACTGTTAGTGGTAGTTCTAGTCCATGCCGGGCTGTAACCAGCCAAGGGCACGACGAATATTGTCAATAAGGTGAGACAATTCTTCGAATAATTCCGACGGTACCAAGCACAACTGCTTTTTGCATCCACATTATGGTGTTGTTCGGGAGGTTTAGTTCTTTGATATGTTGGTTTGTCATTTTGTGCACAAGTCCATTGGCACTTATTATTAACGGTACTATAATCACCTTCCGCAGTTCCCAGATTGCTTTTATTTCCTGAGAAAGTGCAGCGTACTTGTTTATCTTATCTGCATAGGCTTTAGCCACGTTATAATCCTGCGGTACTGAGAAGTCGATTATGATGGCGGTTTTTTCAGGTTTATTCCATATTACCATATCGGGTTTATTATGTTCTACTCCTATATCTGTTTCTACTGTAAAGTCCCAGTATATCTTGGTGGTGTTATTCTCTAATACAGCTTTTGGAACGTACATGTGGTGGGGGGTAAATGTGTCAAGGAGGCCCTTATTCAGGCATACCAACTGGTGCACTACTTTTCCCATGTTATTATGTCTTTCTAGGTATCTGGTCCCGGCTATTTTACTGCATCCAGAAGACAAGTGCTGTACAGACTCCTCACTAATATTACACAAACGACATTTTGTGTTTTCAACTTGTTGTTTTAATATATACCGTGCATATGTTCGGGTTTTTACTACTTGGTCTTGAATGGATAGTATTGCGCCTTCGGTTCCTGGGAAGAGGTATCCAGCTGTTAGGTAGGTATTTGAGGCCTTGAAATCCACATCTTCTTGGTGTAAGGAGGCGTAAAATCTGCCATGCAGTTCTTTACTCTGCCAGCGCTGTTTCATCTGTCCAGCAAGATTTACAGCTTCCGGTTCTTGGTCGCTAGCCAGGTTGAGTGATGTATAGTTTTTATCTAAGACTCGTATGCTTTTATACACAGGTGCATTGTTGGTGAGTAAATATTTTCGTAATTTCTGTCTTTCTTCCTGGCTAGCAGACTCTAAACTGATTAGTCCTCGACCCCCTTCATCCCTAGGTAAGTACAACCTTTCTATGGCCGAGTTTGGGTGTAGTATGCCATGCTTTGTAAGTAGAGATCTAATTTTCCGGTCCAGTCTTTCTAGATCCGTTTTTGACCACGTGAGTATGCCGGCGGTATATGTTAGCACCGGTACTGCCCAGATGTTGTATGCAGTAAACTTATTTTTGGCATCGAGTTGTGTTTTTAATATTTTATTTGTTCTTCGTACCAATTCCTTTTCGGCCTGCTCTTTATTGTCTTTCTGTTTCAGCTCGTAGGTTTGTTGTATGCCTAAATATTTGTATGAAGTCTCCGCTCCCAAATTTCGAATTTCGCTTCCGTCCGCTAGCGTGATGTCTGCGCTTTCAGTTAGCTTTCCCCTCTTTATATGGATAGTCGCACATTTATCGAGCCCAAACCTCATACAAATACCCTGGCTGAAACTTCTGACCAGCTCAAGCTGTCCCTCAAGCTGCTCTCGACTTTTTGCATACAACTTGAGGTCATCCATGTAAAATAGATGTGTAAGCTTCGTTCGGTCGTCAATCTTGTATCCGTATGCGCTTCGGTTTAGCATGTTACTCAACGGGTTCATAGCGAGACAAAACCACAAGGGACTCAAGCTGTCTCCCTGGAATATTCCTCTCTGGATGGGGATTTCTCTGGTCTTGTAAGAGTTGGTATTTCCTCTAACTAATAGTGTGGTGCGCCATGAACCCATTAGGTGCCGGAGTAGGTCGATGGTTTGCTCATTAATTTTATAGATTTTCAAAATCTCCATCAGCCAGGAATGAGGAACCGAGTCAAATGCCTTCTGGTAATCAATCCAGGCAACAGAGAGGTTTCTTTGACGTTTTCTTGCCTGCATGGTGGCAATGTTGTCTATAATCAGCAGTTCCTTACACCCCTCTTCCTTTATGCTTGCCTACCTATATATATATATATATATATATATATATATATATATATATATATATATATATATATATATATATATATATATATATATATATATAGGTTTCTATATATATATATATATATTTTTTTCTATATATATATATATATATATATATATATATATATATATATATATATATATATATATATATATATATATATATATACGTATATCTTATCTGAAAAGAAAGTGACAACGATAAAATGTCATGTAATAAATAAATAGCAAAGATTTTTAGAAGATATCAAGATTATGTATAAAGTAGATTGTTTCAGGAGCACTCTATATACTTTAAACGAAAAATATGAGCTTTTTGTCCATGTTTGCTATAACTGCAGGTTTTCTTATTTTTATTATCATAGTACTTTTAGAGTACTTTTATTATAAAAACTAGTATTATTCTTATTATTAAGCCGTCTGAATTTTCTACTACATTTTCTAATTTATTTGTCAATCAATTTCAGTTACTATCCTTCCTGGAACCAACCCTGGAAGGGGTGGTTTTAATAACCTACGGGGTGGGAAACATCCCTTCCGACAGACAGGACTTGATCGATGTTTTGAGGAACGCTGTAGGACGTGGAGTCACCGTGGTGAACGTAACTCAATGCCTAAGAGGATCGGTAGCGGTCCTATACGAAACAGGACATGTGAGTTTCAAGTTTGAATTAAAAACTTTAATATGAAATTACTAACTAATTTGAGACTAAAGAAAATAGTTATGTCAGGTCATATCTGGCTATGACTATTCTAATTCTAAGGCTGTATTCCGTCTGTGTTTTAGTTTTCCGTCTCTTTAACCAAGGTAAGAACTTGGTTAAAAATCATAAAGTTTTCTGTTCCGTTTTTATGGTCTACCTGAATTTCTTATTATATCCACTAAGGTGCAAATAAACAAAAACACCAAAAAAAAAAAATTTTTTTTTCTTTTTAGTTACCGCGAAAATATCGTTCAGGATGATAAAAAAAAATTCTGGTAAAGTTTGAGCTTTTATTATTTATATTAATTATTTGAAACTTGCAGTGTATTGAGGCAATCATAATCCCCACATTGTTATATGGGAGCGAAACCTGGGTGCCGTACCGCCGACACATGAAGGCATTAAACAAGTTGCAACAGAGACACCTTAGACAACTCTTAAGTATCCGATGGTTCCACCATGTCTCAACCGTATCGGTCCTTGAAAAAGCTAACTGCGAGAGTATTGAAGTCATGGTTACAAAATCCCGCTTAAGATGGGCTGGTCACCTATGCAGAATGCAAGAAAACCGCATACCAAAATCTCTGCTTTACGGTGAGCTTGTAGACGGTAAGAGGAGGCCGGGTGGGCAACTCAAAAGATATAAGGATATTTTCCACGAAAACTTAAAGGGGATTGACATGCAGAATGAGTGGGAAGAAGCAGCTCACAATAGAACTCAATGGAGAAGAATTGTAAACTCAGTTAACAGCGACAACTAAAGAGTAAAGAGACAACAAAGCAATGCGATTTTTGAATGCCCGGAGTGCGGTAGGCAGATAACATCACGTATCGGGCTTTTATTGTCGCGACAGGGCTGTATATTGTCGCCTCTGCTATTCAATGTGTACTCGGAACATCTATTTAGAGAGGCACTGGATGGCACAGAGGATGGGCTGGTAATAAACGGAGAAATAGTAAACAATTTGAGATACGCAGATGATACCGTTCTGTTGGCCGATACCGCTGAATGTCCCCAAAGGCTTAAAAAAAGGCTCGTGTGGCGAATACATGTAGCAGATACGGAATGAAGATGAACTGCAAGAAGACTCAAACGTTGATCATTAGCAAGAAGTACATCAACAACTTTCAGTTCACTGCTAACAACATCGTTCTCCCAGCGGCCTAGACGGTTGCATACCTGGGCTGCACCCTGACTAAAGACTGGGACCACTCTCGCGAAATAAAACACCGAATCGAAATCGCGAGAGGGACATTTAACAAAATGCGAAATATACTATGCAACCTGTCCCTCAACGTCCGCACTAGAATCAGAATCCTGAGATGCTACGTGCTCTCAACCCTTCTATATGGAGCAGAGGCGTGGACCCTTACCGACGCATCATGCAAGCGTGTGGAGGCATTTGAGATGTGGTGCTATCGGAGCATGCTTAGGATTTCGTGGGTGCATCGCGTGTCAAATGAGACTGTACTACATCGCATCAACGGAGTTGGAGTTTCTGGTAAATGTCAAACGAAGAAAACTGGAATACTTCGGACACATCATGCGGAACGAGAAATACCGCCTACTCCATCTCATACAGCAGGGGAAAATAGAAGGCAGAAGATCAGCGGGACGCAGACGAATATCGTGGCTGCGAAATCTACGAACATGGACCGGATTGACGTCAACAGCTTTGTTCAGAACGGTAATATGGATCAATGTGATAGCCAACATCCAAAGAGGATAGGCACTTTAAGAAGAAGATCGGGCTTTTGAGTCACAGAAAAGCTCATGAAAGAAAACGCCTTGCGTGACCATCTTTTGATGCGTGTCAAATACTCGTCAGCGAGTAATGGCAGTATGTATGTGTATGTATATTAAGAGATGCCTCATCGTGATTTTCTATTTCTCATTTAAATAACAATTTTTTGGGGGAATTTTATTACTTTCTAACAAATTAGAGTTTTGTAAAAATCAATACACATTCTTGTAGGAGATTGAACGGTCTTCAAAAAAGGTCTGATATGAATTTTCATTTAATCGACTTGTTTGACAGTTATTGAAGGTTAAAGTTCAACTTCAAATCGTATATGATAAATTCCACAATTTTTTATATTTATCACGAAATAATCAAATACATAAAACATGATATTTTATGGTTTTTAGGTCACTATTTCGTGATAGAATATAAAAAAATGTAGAAGGTATACTCTGTTTTTTTTTCTCAGGCAAGATTTCGACAGACGATGATAGAAAAAAGCAGATGACGTCCATATCAATCCATTTATTTAACTAAAAAAAGTTTCTAATATTTTTTAAGTAAATTATGGATGGGTTTATTTATAAATCCGTCATGGTCATCTCTTGTTGTTTTTAACCAGTTTTATTGGTTTATTTTAAAACTAACAGATCATATTTCAATATTATTGGTTTAACGGAACGATGAACGACAAACGGACGCCGATGCGTTTGAACTCGACTTAAAATTTTTGAGAGTTGTCAAACTCTTGCCAAATTATAGGTTATAGTAGTATATTAGTTTAATGGCCACAGCTGCCAGGGCTATCCGGCCGGATGGTAGAATTAACTACCTACGGTTGAGCGTTTATATAGATGATGACACACAGACGAGGATCGCTATAAAGCGAGCCTGGGAAATCCCATACCCCGACTGTTGAGTTGAAGAAAATGTTGGCAAAGGAAGATCCTGCAAAATAAACAAATTTAATAACAATTTCATTTAAAATGTCAAAGATTAATTCCACAACTATCTAAGAATTCGCCTATAATATTAACTACAATTGGATGAGCATGCAAAGCGGAGGTAAAATTATGAGGGGATGTTTTGTAAAAGCCAATAAGTGATTTATATAGTTTATCTACTAAAGCGGGAAATTTATTGCATTCAAAAAAGATGTGGTTTAACGTTCCAATTTCTCCACACTCACATAAGGAATCTGCATTTACACCTATACGATGTAAATGGGACGGAATTAGACAATGTCCGCTTCTTAATCTGAAGAAGGTTGTCAATCTTTTCCTGGGAAAATCTTTACATGATCTAAACCATATGCTTTTGTAGGGAAAAGTAACAATTTCTGCATAATTTTTCCCTTTTGTACAAGAAATCTCCTTCCATCTGCCTTTCCATAACGACCAAAACTTTTCCTTAAGAATTGGAATAAAATCAGTAAACCAACATTTAATCTCAGCATCTCGACCATTTGTCTTTCCAATATTTGCTAATTGATCAGCTTTATCATTGCCCAAAATATTCGTGTGACTGGGTAGCCATGCCAATGAAATTCGAAATTGTTTTTCTCTTAACCCAAATAGTTTACGTTTTGTAGCAAATGTAATTTGACTGTCCTTAAAATTTGGATAAGCTGCTAATGCTCGTAAAGCACTTTCACTATCACTAAAAATTACAGAATCCTCCAATTCTTTGCTTTCAATTACATTCAATGCCATCATAATAGCAAACATTTCTCCAACAAATATGGAAGCATATCCAGGAATCATATAGGTGGCTTCCAAATTTAAATCCGGGCAAAATATACCCACTCCAACATTTTTATTTACTTCCTTAGAAGCGTCCGTAAAAAACTTAATTTTTTGTTTAAATTTTAACTCAATAACTTCTCTAAATTTAATAGAATTATTTTCACTCTTATTTAAATCCAATCTTAAATATTCATTTTTACTAAAATAAAGAGGAAACTTATAATAATGATGCATATTAACAACATCAACATCTTGAACATGAGGAAAAATTTGATCAATGCCTTCAATAAGAGGAGGAACATGATAATATCTTGACCAAAAACCAAATGATTGATTATATGCCCCATAAGCTTCTGTAACAGACTGAATAATGGGATTATCCTGAATAGAGAATGCTTTTAAAAGCAATTTAGTGGCCAAAAAATTACGTCTAATATTAAGGGGAAGTTCTGCCGATTCTGATAAAATGATATTAGTTGGACAGGAACGCATAAACCCTAAACAAATGCGTAAGGCTTGAAAATGAACTTTATCAAGTTTTTCTAATAACTTTTTAGAACATTTAGCTAATAATATACTACCATAATCTAAATGTGACCGAATATAGGACTTAAAAAAATTTAACATAGTAATTGGATGTCCCCCCCACCAGGTTTTACAAAAATATCTCATTAAATTAATACCCTTAGTAGCTTTAGAACACATAGCCTCAATTTGATGATTCCAAGAAAACCGATTATCAATAAAAATACCCAAATATTTAACATATTCAACCCATCTAATAACATGATTTTGAAATTTAATATCTGGTAAAATACGATTATAAAATTTTCTTTGAATTAAAATACAGGAAGATTTTTCAGGAGAAAAACTCATTTCATTTAATCTCGCCCATTCCTCAAGACTGTCCAATGTAACATTTAATTTATTAACTATCAAATCTATATCATAACCTTGAGCCAGGAGAGCAATATCATCAGCATATTGAATTAATTTAACATCATCCCCAATAAAGTCACTAACATTATTAATATAAATATTAAATAAAATTGGAGCTAAAGGAGATCCTTGTGCTAAACCCTTATTAGTAAAACCAGGACCAATCAATTTTTTTGAAAAATTATCAACAATATAAATTTTCCTGTTGGTATGTATCTCTTTAATGTATTTACAAATATTCTCTTCAATACCCAATTCAGCTAATTTACGAATCAAAATAGAAATATTAACTTTATCATATGCATTTTTCATATCTAAAAAAACAATTACTGAAAATTTATTATATGAGAGTCCAGAAATTATCGATGAACATAAAGAAGTTAATGCTTCAAAAACTCCTTTACCTTTTCTAAACCCAAACTGAGAATCACTGAGAATTTTGTGGTTTTCCACATACCAATCCAATCTACATTTCACTATATCTTCCATAATTTTCCCTATGCAAGATGTGAGAGTAATTGGC